TACGGTGGGTTTACAAAACCAGTGTTTCGCATTTCAAGGTTAAAAATACACCGCTAAAAGACACAGGTGGAAAGGGAAGGTTCAAAAGAATGCTTAATTTTCTTTTAAGGGACAAAGGAAGGCTTTTCTTTACAGAATCGTCCTTCGAGAAATTCGAAATTCACGAAACTTTCATCACGGCCGATCGGAGCGCTTGGCCTGTTTTGAAACGCAACCAAGCAGCGAAGTTTCTGAAGAATTTTCAGATACGTTTTGTACTCTATAGTCAATAAAATTACGTTTTTAAATAGAAATTTATGTATTTGTAAATATCTCATCTTAAGACGTTTTAAACATTTTGAGATCGGCTTGAGAACCCTGATTTGAGATTTGTGTTCAATGATTTTTGCCACGTGCTCAGCCGATTTTACTTGCTCACTGAACGGATCCACTAGCCAAGTTTCTGTTACGCGAATTGCTTTTAAGGATTAATTTGTGGCCTTTGAATAACAATTTTTCGCGAAATAATTTCTCTGTCTGTGGTTGTGTGTTCTTTCATTGATAACATTAGCTCAAAATACGATCCTAAGACAACAGCATCCGAGTTGAATTTAATGGTTCTCATATTGATCCACACATCACTTCTGTGAATGTCGGCGAATTTTATAGGATTTTTGCTTTTAGGTTTTTAGGTTCGATATGCAGCTAATTAAATTTTATTTGAAAGTATGTTTTTCTGATTATTCAAGATTTGCGCTGTAAGTGTACTACTGACAGAGGGTGACTAAAGTATTGTTTTTACTTTGAAAATTCGCGGTCGTTTAAATGGGCTAAGAGCTGCAAACTCCGATAGCTCAGTTGGAATGATCACATTAAAGGAGCAGAATCAATCTTCACAGGACTACGAACAACATTCTGATGACTTTTCATAGCCGGACAGCAAAAGTCGATCCCGCAAATATCCACACACATAATTTCTTGCTGTTTACAACACTATCGACATTATCTTGAATTTCAAAAAGCAACGCACGCATCCGCATTGTGTTTTTCTCTAGGCGTTTTCCGCCTGTTCGCCTCACATACGTCACCGAAGTGAATTGACCAAGAGGGACTGGGAAAACGCCGTACAAGGACTAGACAAGGGAAACACCACGCATGCATTGCCCCACATCCGCACCCATGCATTACCGCGCGAATCAAGAGAGCTTACAACCTTAACGGTTGTCTAGCACAGTACTCGGCTGTCGACTTCTTCATAAATGCACAAGAAAACATGAAAACGTTACTGGGATTCACACGATGTTTTATAAACACCCTCTGTTCGTACACTAGCTAGGTAGAGAAGGAAAAGATAGACTTATAACTTATTTAATAAAGAATGGGACATAGCAGAACTGTATAAAAGGTCGCTATATATGAGCGCGATATCCACGACTTCATCAAGTTATCCGAAGGGTTTTTGAGGGCGGTTGAGGCATGGCGGTAGACAACGTAGACCTCATAGTACTCTTCCACAAGGACAGCTGTTTGAACTTTGAGGACAACATAACTTTGCATACATTTAATAGTAAAAAATGTGATATATAATATTTAATGATAACAATAACAAGAAAATATCCCAAAAGAGGCAACAGACATTGAAAGGAAATATATAAATCCCTATAAGTTCGTCGGCTCCTTTTAAAACTGTTTAAAATATAATACACGGCGGTGTCTTTGACCTACTTTTATAAGACTCGTCATTAGTCGTCGCACTGATAAACAAATTATGATTACAGAGACAGTTATTTCAAATCATCGAGCTGGTTACTATCGTAATTTTTTATCACTTTTTTATTTCAATGGTTGCATAAAAAAAGAAAAAGAAAGAAAAAACAAGAAGACTCGAATTGATAACAACATAATGTGCTATTCGACTTACACGAAAATAACTAATATGCATTCTAGAACTAAAAGTTACACAATGGGCTCCCTTTCTTCACAAAACGAAAATTAGCTTCTTTAACTAAAAATTCACCGAAAGTATAAGTAGACGTTAAAGGCCCATGTTCACCCAAACGGCTTTGCGCGCTTGTGTTTTTGTTTTGAAACGATTCTTTTGTCAAATGTAGTGTTTTGATTGGCTTCCACTGTGAGGAGCGTTGCGTGACGATACTAAAAACGACTGCCAGGGAGACTACAATTGCAGCTTTTTATCAGAGAGGCCAGTAAGACTTTTAATTCTTTTTCAAATGGAGGAAGATATATCGCCGACTTCGTTAAATGCCCGGGGTTAAATGTCACCGCAGAAAGCAGTTCAAAATTTAAACTTGTAGTGAATGCATATGGATGCTTTGTTGAGTCCGATGAACACAATGAAGGTCATAAATTACGAAACGTCTAATACTGCACCAGGTGAGGTTTTCCTGAAGCCCGATTCGGCTGTGAAATGTTTTGATTCTCAATCTATTATTTTGTGTTAATTCTTAGGAAGCTTAGGTATGTGTGCTCGAAAGAATAAGCGAGAAGTTGTGTTTGCAAAGCGTCGAATCGGCACTGCGTACGGTCTTGTCGCTGTAATCGCTGTATTACCCTTTCTTTAGGTTTTGATAAGGATTGGTTTGCTAATAAGAGTTCTCGCTACTTTAGAGCCGGATTTAATCGTGATACGCCAGACGATAAGTTTACGTTAAGGATATCACTCGCTTCATAGGTTAAATTAAATAAAGCATTGTTCATGTTAGATTGACTCGCTTGTTTTGCTTTCAACTGATTTAAACGGGACCTTTGTTTACAATTGAACATTCGATGTAGAAGGAACTCGGCAAACACGCTGTCTGTATTACAGCCAAGAGTTTCTTTCCCATCTCTCCCGGGATTAAAAAAACGGATTCACGGAGACGAATGTACTTCGGCGACCCCCATCGACGCAGTCTTCCAACCATGCTTCCAACCGTTCGTTTCGATGGAGCCGCCATCGAAAGTGCTGCAGTGAAACAAACTCTCACAGAAACAAAAAGGCTCGATATCATTCCAAAATATCCAAGAAGATGTAAACAAAAAAACCAAAAGAACGTGTTGAGACTTTCTGTTAAACCAGATTTAGCGAACTGTAGAAGATTAACAAAGATTGACCTTACACACTAAAGGCAGCGATTTTCAACCACGCGAAATGTTTTTTCTGGAGTACAGGGCGCGCAATGCATCTAGGGTGAAAATGGGCCTTTAAATTTACCGATAAAACACTTAGTAATACTTGGATGTGGCCACGTATGATAAGAAAAACCTTGCAGATCAAGGAGGGAGAGTGTAGCCTCGGTGGAAAGTAACCTCTTAGATCGGCATATTTCCTCAGTTAATATCGTACGAGAGCCAAATCTAATTTGCCTCTACCACGGCTCTGCTCTGCCAAAACAGCTGAACTACTGAGCCTTCTACTTTCCCTTGTTCTTTCAATATCTCAGCTCTGCAATTGACTTCCGGAGGTATTTGAGCCAATGTAAAACGTCGTTGCCAATTATTCTACAATGGTGGCTTCGGCATGTCTTTAAAAGACTCTGAGACGTTTGGACCAGAACATCATAAGCGTAAGCACAGATGCAAGGCGGCTTTATTTACATTATCAGTATAACATGAACTTTAATATGTATGAGGGAGTAGCGATATTAGTTAAAAGTACGCTATTTAGCAAAATCCAAGAAGGCAATTAAGATTGCAGCCATTTCTATTAATGACGTCATATCTCATAATGTCATGAAGAGCTTATTTCAGGCTATTCAAATTTCCCCAATTTTTTTAAGCACTTTGTGACCAGAAACATCTTCTAGTAACTGTTTTACTACGTAAACTACCACTCCTTGTACCGCAATGGGAAATATCCGTAACACCGATGAGAGTATCAATTTACCAAAAGTCGTTAGAGGTTTACAATAAAACCTTAGAGAATGAAAGACTAAAAAATACAAACAGACAATACATATGTCAAACGTATAAGCAGAAAACATCCGAAGTATTCTTCCACTTGCTCGGAAAAAGTGAACGATTATAGCCGTAAATTGAAATTAACTAACAATATTATATACCGCATATACGGTAACGAATTTAGACGTTCAAGTCCTCGACTTTTGCGTACAACTGATTGTCATAAATGTGCATGTTGATCAGCTTCTGTGGATAAAATAATATTCAATTAAATTTTCTACCTTGAACCCTGTTAGCCAAAACAGGTGACTATTTTCCCTGCTCCTTGTTTTCGCTTTTTTGTGAAATTTCATGCACCATGTACGGTCTTATAACGGGATGCCATTTTGCTTAAAAAGGCTATAAGCTCGTTAATAGTGCTGTTCTTTATATCACCAGTTTAGTATACAAATTAATCCTACAGATCACAAAGATATTTCACCATACAACACATTCTGGGGTTCTACAAGATATTTATTTTGCCTTTGACGCTACCAAATTTGTACTGCTAGGTTTCTTTACTCTTGTAGAGACAAGTTACTCAAAAATGTGGACAAAATCATTGCAAAAAAAGGCAAAAAGTACACTTCCGGTTGACGAGCGTCGCTTAAAAACACCTATGCTTAAGCTCCCCAATATCGCGAGTCGGGATATGTAGGTAAAAAAAAACCGGGGAAATGGCCGAAGGCATGGGAAAAGATAAACGAGATCCAAGAATATATATAATGGAAAACGTTTCTGAGAGGACGCCGATAAATTCATAGTTTTGGAAAGCATTAAAAAAGGTACGTTGCTGGGTTAATATGAATGATGTATTTGTTGTGGTTCAATTTTATCCTTGGCTTAAGTAAGTTTTATTTCCTTTTGTTTCGATCTCATAACCATACATTCGTATACCCAAACACAAAGGGACATGAAATTTAAAACAAGAATAAATTTAATCAGGACATATATAGACTGTAAATGAGAAATCGAAGAAAACAATGAAACTCCTTATGTAGAATAGGCCACCTTAGTAGCAGACAGCTTGACCAAGAAAACTCTACCCTAGTTATAGTGTACGTTTGAGGAAGTGGCAAGCCTTATAGCCGAAAGATTGTTGTCATTGCTGATGTCGCTGAAATACTTTTAATGTCACAAGGTACCAACAAACCCACCTTATGCTGGTTTTCCATGTCCCTCAACTGTTTGGTCAAAGCGGTGAATGATGGTCTCGCTTCTGGCTCATTTTGCCAACAGTTAATCATGATTTGATACCTGAGAACAGAAAATAAAATCGTCTCATCTCGACTTGTCTTTTCTCCCAAATTTTCCGTCTTAAGAGGTCAAAGATTCTTTTAATCTCATAACTGATCATCACCTCTGGTAATATCTATTCTTACTACTGTTTGTACGAAAAAAAAAACAAATACAACTACAAATAGGATACAATTTCAAACTGTGATTAAGTAAAATAGATACTATTACAATTTGTCATCCACGTGCTGTGGCTTTGGCATCCTGTATTCTTGTTGAAGTAGACTAGCAATTTTCTTGCCATCCATTCGCGGATATGGAGAACCACCTGAAAGTACAGGAATTCAAACAAACTACGTCTTCAGAACCTATTGCAAAAGAAACTTGCACGACGAAGGCCATTATCGTTAATTAAGAAAAAAACAACAACTTACCTACAGTGAAAATCTCATAAAGAACAACGCCATAGCTCCAACTGCAAATAAAGCGGAAGCGTTGATTTGTAAAATAAGCAAAGCAACAACTACTAAATAATATTCAACATCGTAAACTGTATTTCCACACAATTTTTATTATATTTACTCACACGTCACTTTTGGTGGTATAAGTGTTAAACATCAACGCTTCATATGCAGTCCACTTGACTGGCAGACGTCCCTGGTGGTAAACGATGAGACGCAGAACGATTAAAAAAGACATCTTTAAAATTGTTTTTTAGATTAAGATTTAAAAGTTCGAGGAGCCTTATCTAGAAGGCAACCTACTTTCGTAGGAAGTGTGAAAAAGAATGGTTACAGTAGTGATTATTAGGCAAAACAAGTAGGTTTTAGAATGCAAGGGTACGGTAGTTCGAAATGCCCGAAATCCGCGTGGCTGCCTTAATGTGAGACATTGAAGATGTATAATAGAATGTAAATCCTTGATTTTAGATTCCCTTTATCTTATGATTAATTCTTATTACTTCCTAACTCAGATACCCTTGTCTTTCTTTCATAAATGTTCTCCTGTTGGACATTCCTGGCCATTCCAAAGTCAGTTATTTTACACGTTTCTCTTTCCCCAACCAACACGTTACGAGCTGCAAGATCTCGGTGAATGATCTGTAAGAAATAGTTAACCAATCATTAAAATGGATCTAATTGAATTCAGGGCTAAATTCACCCATTTCGACCCATCTTCTGGACCACTGGCATATTAATTCCTCAGTAATTAATTAATTCATTTATTAATCAATACACGTGCATATGTTTCAATTAGTATAGTTGGCATGGCTTTTTTCTTATCTTGTACAGGAATCTTAATAATTCCATGTCGATGACGTTTTTCATAGTATTTCCTAGTCTTTCACAATTCATAGCGGAGCTCTCGCGCGAGCGAAGCGCGCGAGCAGCGGCGCACCATGGGTAAGAAAATTTGGTAAACTATCCATCCGAGAAAATTTGGTTATGACGTAGCGTACGCCCTCCCGTACACACCCTTCATGTAAGCCGATGTCAAATGTCCCAATAGATCTTGCACAACTTGACTAGCCTCTTAGTTATGTAAACCATCCGTATGAGTACGATTAGATTGACAGCTGTCAAAATCAGACATCCGCTGACAATTATCACATGACCATCTCGCGGGCTCAGATGAAAGACCAGTCGTTTTGCCCCTACATATAAGCTGATATAATATGTCACACTTACCAATTCAACGCAAAAACGAAACTACGGCGGGCAAGGCTTTCAGCTGGCTGACAGTCGTTCAAAGTTAAATTGGCAAGCCAAATTAAGGTCAATTGACAGCTGTCAAAATGGGACATGTGAAGACCACTATCAAAGGACGTGATAACGTAATAATAATAACGTGGGCTCAGGTTCGCTCAGGTACACGATCTAGCATTTTCCACTACATACCGGACGGATATGTCTTACTCACACTCGTAGTCTGTTAATTCCAATATTCGCCATTCTAATGAAGGTCAATTGACAGCTGTCAAACTAGAGTACACGCTGACCATCATCACCTGAGTGTATCGCGGGCTCATTTCTTATCCACTGAGGTTAATTAAGTGTTTAAAGTTTTGCGCCGATATTTCATTTGATCACGGGCTCAACTCGAAGCCCCATAGCTTAGGAAATCTATCCATCCACAGGCACCACAGGTTTACCAATGTTTAATCTCACACTTTCTAGGTAGTTTGGGAGCCTGCAACCTGATTTTGTACATCCATGTTTTGATTAATTGACAGTTGTCAAAATAGTGTTTCTGCTGACCAGTATCGCCTGACCGTATCACGGGCTCAGGTATCGACCCACTGAGTTCGAGTGTTTTATTGAAGGCATCCGGTGACAAGTTACTACTTTTCAAATGATCGCAGGCTCAAGTTCAATTTTTTTAAAATGCATATGAAATAAGTCGTGTTCATTAGCCGCATTTTTAAAATATTGATTTCGAACTGACCTCGGACGCGAAAATTCAACCGGCTTTTACATTAACATGCAGGGAAAGCAACCGCTTTTGACTTTTCTCACTGTCACGCGTTGATCACGCTCTACGTCCAATTTCTATGTTCTGATTGGTCAAAATTTGACAGGTGAGTTCATGCGGAAAATTTATTCAGCGTCGGTTGTAGCGTCTGGAAACTGGAGCTGGAGCTGACAGAGTTTTGTGTCATCTTGTGATGTTTTTAACTGTCTTTTTTTACTTGGTGTACAAAATGAAATACAGCTGCTATCAAGATTGTTCTGTAATTCATGGCGGGTTTGTTTATTGTGCATTTTGTTGACAAATGCACCGCTTGTCAAAGTCATTGGAAATCCGATTTCGGATGGCATCGTTTTCAAAAATGAGCTTACTCACTTGCCCTTGTAAGAGGGTTGAAAAGTCTCAAGCGATTCTGGAACACTTGATGACCTTCAGAAGCAGCATCTCGACTGGTAAGCCTGAGCAATTATTGTCTTTGATGTGTTTTTTTTTTTTCGGTTTCCTGAAGCCGAGCATATAGTTTATGCGGCTTAAGTTTATACACGAGCTGCACGAGCAATGATATAACCTACAATAGTATCAGTTTAAAAATCCTTTAGACAGTTTTTGACCGCAAATTCAAAGAAAAGGTTCCGAAGATTATTTAGTTATGATTTTGGCTGTAAACAGAAGGCTCTGAGCGATTTTCTTGCCTCGAGTTCATCTTGAAAAAGAGAAAACACCGGGAAGCCGGCTTAAAACATAAATAAGCTTATGCTACCTGACTCATGATTTTCAGAAACACTTTACTCTCAATACTTCTCTTCGTGAATGAAAATTATTGTCACTGGTACATGTTTCACCGAATTATATTTATTTTATTGATTGTTAGTAGTCCCTCTCGCAATTCTTATCGCTGCACCGGTTGTTTCCAGTCGAACATAAACATCGCATGCAGTAATACTCAAAACGCCGCGCGTAAATATCACTCGCTTTTAAAGATTACACATAACGAAACCATACACAGTTTAATAAATAAAGGGAAATAAAACCTAAACATAACAATTTCTCTATCATATTGAAGCGTAAATGGTAACTCTATTAATCGCACTGCAAGTTTGGTGCCTGTGAAAAGTGAGAACCCGTCCGGCTGACCGAAAAGTGATTTTGGGAATTTTTTTATCGTTTTCATTAAAAGCCCATAATTATTACCCTGCATATCACATAGGACCAGGGTTTTCTAACTGAAAGGTCTCGGCATTATAGAATTCTATTCATGAAAATGTTTTATAATTCAATGCTATAATTTGTTGTGCAAAGGAAGCGCGTGCTTTGATCGTCGTGGATATTGAATGAGTGCAAATTCTCTTGCAAAATTGTGAAAAACTGCAGAATTATAGGTTTCATAGGGCAAAAAAGAAAAAATTCTGTCCGAGGTCTGTATGATAAAAAAACGGCCTCATAGTACTGTTTACCTGAGACGCGATGAGGAAAAACTATGTTTAAAAGGCTGGTTTACACGCCACCAGATTCGTCGCCAAGATTTACTAGTAAACTTAACTTGTCGAACACAAAAAATCCGGCCGGTTTTTTTATTTTGGCCTCTCTTTTAGACAGAGGAATGCAACGTGTAAATTGGCTGCCACCAAGCACTATCGTTGCGCGTGTGTTTCTTAAAATTATATTTCGGGGTTGTCCAATTATCCATAGTGTTGGAGAGCAGTGAATGCCATATTAGGGCCATTTATACGAAGAAAAATAAGACGCGTCTTACATAAGACGCGAACTGTACCATTTATACGAGCATGTCTTATCTAATAAGACGCGTCTTAGCTAAGCCGCGTCTTATTTTAGACGAAATGTGCCGTCTATACGGAAAGTTCGCGTCTTATTTAAGACGCGTCTTATGTAAGGCGCGTCTTATTTTTCCTCGTATAAATGGCCCTATTATGATGCAACAGCTAATGCAAATATAATACACGAATAGGTCTATTTGTTTTCCAGGTCTAATCTACTGTGATCGAACATGATTGCTTTTTTTGGATGTACGAATAAGACTATTAACTCGCTGTAAAATTAAATTTGTTTCTCTTAGCCTTTGCCTCAAAATTCACATGAATGTGCCATGATCTGTGGATTACAAGTTTATTGTTTGATTTAAATTATGAATTTATTAACGGGAGCTTCGCTTTTAGCCGTGGCTAAATCTATATATAATCTAATCGCACTCAGATTCTTTGACTTACAGATCTTGATGACAAGTAACTCATTCCATCAGCAATTTGCCAGGCAAACTTCATCAGTTGCTCTGACGTCAGATTTGTTCGAGGCTTGATATCCGGGTCTTTGAAATAAGTGTCATTGAGTCCTCGGCTCTTTCTCAGGTAACCCAAGAGATCTCCATACGGGACATACTCGATCAAAACCAATAAGGGCTCTAGAAAATAAGTCAAGTAACTTTTACACTATACGGGGTTTTTAGTAATACCAGCAATAATTTAGAAACTGAGACTTTTTGTTGAAATAGTTTTACATTAACTGTTAACTTGAGATGTCTTGAGATGTACGTTAATGTACGTTCATCATTAATCATATGTTTTACCAGTTTCAGTAACACATCCCAGTAGTCGTATGACGTGTGGATGAGGTTTCAGCGTCTTCATTAATTCGAGTTCAGATAACAGATCGCTTCTGTCGGACTCAGGAGCAGAAGCTAAAAATAAACGAAAAAATATAAGTGATACAAGCGTTGTTATTCATTGAGATGACCACCGCTTCATATTCATAAGTTTTCTGAATAATGTTCCAACTTTTATAATTTTTCTTTGTCACTTATTGTCTCTCACTAATGATTAATGACTTATTTTAAAATGTTAGAATGTTTAACTACTCATGAATCGTCAATAAAAACACATTTAATATTAGCATTAATCTTTTTCAGCTCCAAAAGAAGGGTGTGGATTACCTTTAAGCATTTTAACAGCAACTGGAGTGTTCCCTGGCCTCCCCCGAACATCTATCGCGGTTCCTTTGGCAACCTGACCAAAGGCACCTTTACCGATAACCTTTTCTATGGTGACACTATTTCGTGAAATTTCCCAAGAGCGTGTTGACGGATGAAGAGGCGCGTAATCAGTTCCTAGGAATGAACGTTCCACCTGTGGTATACCGAGTGTCGCTTCCTCTTTGCGCTGACTTTCAAATGCAGTTACCTCTTTTAGGTCCATGTATTCAGTCTTGCTTTGACGAGAATGAGATGGTTGGACCTCATCCCTTGCTATCTCATTCTGAAAGTAGTAAAACAGCATCATCAATCATTGTTCTACTATAACTCGAAGCCAAGGACAAAATGAAGAATATTGCATGCCTGTCAATTATTTTCTGACATGTTTTTGACGCTAGGTAACTTGTTACTATTATTTACAACAATTCCCAATGGCAATACAATACACCAAACGTAATATAACTCGAACCTAAATTTCCTTTTATAATAATTATTTGACTGGATGACAAAACAGATGAAAAAATAAGTTACTTACGTCATAAGCCTCTGTATCGTCGCGTGGCAACGTATATGGTCTGAAAATACGAAAAGAAGAACGAAAACTAACATAAAACAGACAAACGTTTACTCACTTTCTTTACAGTTCAGATGTATTATTTAATCGATCTTCTAATTCAAGGGTAATGAATTCAAAATGAATAATATGGCTCACACAATTCATAGGTCATTTTCTATGTAACCGCCCTTACTTTTTAAGTGTATATGACACTGACATGAAGATGAACTTTCTTTTAGTTCTAGTTTCTTGTTCATTGCTGTCCGAAAGAACGGGACTCGCGACCTCTGAATTAGGTCACAACTTTTGCTAGTGAATAATTAATGTAATTATGGTAATGTCCGCCTAGCTAGCTATGCTGAGGAATTTTGGCTAAAAACTAAAACACTAAACCATATTGTTGCTCCAGCACATTTATCTTAGACGCTTAAATGACTGCAAGGGCCGGTTGCTCGAAAGTTTTTTCAAAGATTAAGCCAAATTTTAGGCACTGTTTTTTATTTTTCAAAGAACATGTAACTTAAAAGCTAACAAATTACTGCTGTGCCTTTACTCTGAGAAGTAGCAATGATAACACAAAAAAATGTTACTCTACGCAATGAATACGAAGGTAAATACAAAAAGTTGAACAAAATTTTTATCTTGGATTAGTCGTTCTAATCTACCTTTCAGGAACGGGGCCTAAGACACGAAAACAACTGCACCTGCTTAAACTTTACATGTAAAACCAACATTCATACCTTTTCTGTCCTCTCGATCCTATGAAAGAAGACAAAAACGTTTTAATATTCTATTCACTGCATTTATTTATTTGGTCTATTTATTGTCTTACTCATTGTTTTGTGTGCCTTAGATGTTATATCTAGAAAAGGCATGTACATCATGTGATTACTTGGGTCTTTTGCTATTTACACCTGTACCATTCTGATCAGTCTTTCCCCTTAATAAACTTATTTTTGAGATCATTCTGTGTCCTCTACATTTTGTGGCACATAAAATGGTCTGTTGATGTTACATTAATAGAAAACGTACAGCTTAGTAAGTTCCACAATCGTCAAAACAAGGTGGGAGTGAAAAGGAGAAGTTCTCTGTTACCTCTCTTTTGCTGCCAAACTATCACGACTACAAGAAGGATATTAACGAAAATGAGGACTCCAGTAACTGCTTTCCAGATGACCTCATTACACTGGCAGCGTTCAATATCTGTGAATAGAACCATGAATGAAAAGTTAAAACTAAACCAACTAGTGTATATTGGCGCGGAAGGTCATTGTCTCTGCAGTTTTAAGTATCAACAGCATTCAATTATACATCTTCTGTCTTTTAAAACAATTAAAAACGCCTTTTGAAAAAGTTTACAGTCCTCGCATTTCAAGGCGCTAACGTCACAGGCCCCATGCATCTCAGAGAATACATGTTTTCAAGGATCTATGTCGGGATTTATCTCGCAAGACCTGGTCACCGACGTTGATTTCTTGTCTTTTTTTATTCAATGCTTTATTTTCTAGAATTTGATCGACCAGTAAGTGGAAAAATTGGCAGTTATGATATCATCTGTTCTCTCTCCCAGACCTCGTCAATTTCTTTCTACGCGGAACAATCTATTCTAATGAGAGCTCGAGAGAAACGTTCATTATCTTAACACTACCAGGGACATGGTACAACGACAACTGTGACGACAATTAAAACGACATTGATAAGGTGTACATGCTTTCTTTTAAAGTAAATCCCGTTTATACCAGCTTAAGCATCTTATTAAAATTGAGAAGGGACGTTCCTGAAATTGAATTCAGCATCCAAGTTCTGAATGAGACAGAAAAATTTCCTTTCCGTTTTCACTACGTACTCAATAAAAAATGGCATCAGGAAATTTCACGTAGCCATTGGGTTTAGAAAAGAATTGAATAATTTTTTTTATTCGCCTGCGGTAGATGTGTTTTTTATTATTATTGTTAAACCTATTGCTTTCTTGACGTTCTTGTTGCCATCGATGTCGTGATTGCAAAAGCTCTCTAATATGCATGTCATTTTTAACTGAGATCACCCTTCTGGCTCGAGTTAAAATACGGTACCTGTTGATCCCTCAGTTGATGCGGCTGTCGTAGCATTAACCGGCTGGATTATTTTTAAAGCTTCAACTGTGAAGTTACCAAGTCTTTTATTATTATTTACGGCGTCTCTCAGTTTAGCAAGCCCTTCATTTGCGGTGACAGGAGTTTTAAAGAGCACCTCGAAAGAGACTATCACACTGCCTTTACTGTGAAAAATATGGAAAAAAAGATAAGAAATGAGGAGATCACGAGTGAGTGGATTAAAAGGACCAGGGTTCAAGCCAGTGTTTTACAAACCTTAGTTTGGTCACTTCTGTCCCGTCGTATTTTGCATCATCATCATACAGCTTGTCCATCTAAAAATGATAAAACAAAACACGCAGAAACAGCGTAACCTTACTTCTGTCTGGTAACATGCATTCAGTAAAGTATAATACGGCCTTTTAAACTATACAGTAAATACAATTTGAATATTTTAGTGATAAAGGCCCTTCGTAGCTGGTAATTCATAGAAAACTAAAAATAAAATAAAATAGAAGTAACAAAACAAAACAGTTAAAGCTCACACCAAAACACCTTCAGTTTCTAGAAAATCTTTAAAAAATTCGGAGAAATATTTGATTTTTAGTCCTTGTTTCTCGTGCACATTATTTTGGAAATGCCAGTTCCCTTAAAGGCCACGGGGGACACCAATTCATGAACAGTTTCAAACCTCCTAATAAAGTTCACGTCTTGGAAAGGACTTAGATAACTTTCTGCAGACATTAAGGAATGATGTAAGTTGGAGGGTTGTTTTATTATTATTATTATTATTATTATTATTGTTATTATTATTATTATTATTATTGCTAGATCGCGCTTTTTGGCAACGTCACAGTACTGCCAAATTTTGTGTTTAAGTTTGCAGATATAAGAAGAAGGAAAAAAGCACTCTTTGATTTTTTAAATAAATGTTGGTCAAAACCTCTAGTGTGTAATGACAAAATCAGATTTTATAATTTGAATTTGCCAGCCAGATAAAATCGTTTAAATGAGCAAAATATGTATTTCCTGAAAATAATTTAATTTTAAAAAAGCACGACTTTACCCGCTTTTGTCATGGTACACTACAGTCAACCAAGTTTTCCCTTCTGATTTGGATGTATGAAGTTTCGTTGTAGCAGAATAGTCACGCACCAGTTTTTTTTAACTCACAAATTTATTCCCTACACTGCAATTGAAGTGCTCACTTTAAACTCTTGAGCACTAGTAGATAACGAGTAAAAAAATACCCTGCAACTTATTCTGTGCTCTATTTGGATGTTTTTGGTTTTAGTTTAACCCTAATGCTGGGTGATCGTATATACTTAAAAATGTCGTCATGGGAGCTAATTAACACTACGTAGTGCATTTTTACCTATCCACGCAGCATACTCTTAAAATAAATGCATCGGGATGAACTTAAGGTGTTCTAAGGTGGACAAAAACAGTTTCTCCAGAATTGCGTTATTCCTTTTTTTTTTTGCAAGTTAACATCTTCATTTATCATGAGGAGATACGGAGTCGGAGTCGTAATCAGAAGCAAGACTTGACGATCTAGCGTTCTGGTTCCGCTTACGACTCCATCGTTTACGATCCCGTGGAAACTAGACTGTCAGATTCGCAAGCAGAAGCAGAAGAACTAAACCAATTAAAAAGTGGTCGTGGAAAGGAGCATTGTGATTGGTTTATATTATCCTTCCGCTTCTCTTTCCAACCACCACAATCTGGTTCTCACTAGATCGTAAGCAACGGAGTCGTAAGCGGAGTCGGAAGAAAATGGAAACGATTCTGTCGCGCTTTTATGACTCTGCTTACGACTCTGATTTATGACTTTCACAAGGTCATAAGCGCTTTTACGACTCCGCTTACGAGCCAGTTTCAAGCTCCGGCTCCGTCGCTAGTGAGACCACCCTATAGGTAATGTAAACATACGAAAATATCTCGAAAAATAAAATTATGTTCATATCGCAGTTCAGTCAACACAAGGCCCAAATAAATTTGATCAAAAGAGTTTTGTGACACAATTAAATTTCTCATCAATCACCCTCGTTGCCATGGCAACGATTGAAATCATGTCAACTGTGAGCTTTATGCTTTCATTTTGTCTTGAATAACATTCCATTGAATGGTTACTACCTACAACCTACCAAACCGTGTTTAGTCACCTTAAGAGGAGCGAGACTCGAAACATCAAACCTTTTAATTTCTCACGACTTAGGAGTGATTTTCTGCAAAATTCGAACTTCGGCCTCACGCGGTACCTCATCGACTTGGCTGATTTTTGGCATGTAGTCTTAGAATGGTGTCCTGAATACTGAATGCATATTCTAAGGTTCAAATTCTCTTTCGTTTCAAAGATACAGGAATGACAGTTTTGACGACGCATCGAGGGGCCGACATGTTGGTGAACTGAAAGAGGTTTACAATGATTAATTGTACCCTTATCATTAAAATAGCTCAATCGTGACTCATACAGTTTCAACTATCCTTCCTCCTTTCATTTACCTACTATTATCTGAAAATGGTTAAGCCTTTTTCGGTAATTAAAAGGTACACAAATTTGGTAGAAATTGGAAAGTCAATATCACCCATGCCACATTGATTTAGAGTAAGCCATTTTTTTTTAACTAAACATAGTTTGTTTATAGCTAAGTTAGATTGTTGAATAAAATAATTGGGCAAATGTAATTGAGCAGACTTATAATTGCATGAATGCGCTAAAGCTTCCAAACAAAATTCGGTTAATATTTGAAAAGAAAATTCTAAGAAATCGATAGTGACTCTTAAAGCCTATCTATCGCTTAAAAAACCCTCACTTGTAATGTAAAAAGGTGATCTTTTGCTTCTTATCTTGCGAAAAGCTTAAAATATGCGCTAAAAAAATTTGTTACTCACAGTGTAGCTCATTAAGTTCGCTCTTCGATTTGCCAGACCAATCGGGAGCCGCTCGTGTGCACAGTTAGGATTTTCTCTGTAGTATATTTCGCTGTATAGAGCTACTGGACTTTTTACATATTTTCTTAGGCAAAGATAACGCAAACTTTGTCAATTTTTATCAAAAGGCTAAAAAAACAAACCGTGCACTGCGGCTTTACACTTGATATAAAATGTTACGAAAAATTATATTGCGTGACTTTTAAACGTGACATTCTGAAAGCTTTACGAGAGTTCGTAGTTTGTTTATTTTAGGATCTTGGGTAAGCGTTTCTAGAGTATATTTCGTAACCTTTCTATAATTAGACTATTTGGAAAGGTCTAAAAACTTATTGTAAAAGTATATGAGTAGGCGAGTCCGAGTTAAGTTTTAACTATTTTTCACAAGCGAAGAGAGTTTGACGTTGGTCGTGTTTAGTCAAGTGTGACGAAGGCAGTGTTTATTGAAGTTGGCGGAGGACGTGTAAGTTCATCAGGTTAATTGAAGTTGGCGGAGGCCGTGTAACTTTAACGTGTTAGGTGCTGTTGTAGAGTTTTACTTCGTGGAAACTACGTTCATTTTTCAAATAAAACTTCTTGTTGCTGTTCCGACAACCCTGCGTTCAGTTTAGTTTGCAAGCTACCCGTCCTCTAAAAGATTACCAGCGTAACAAAAACCATATCGCTTGACAAACAAGACCACAACCCAATCGTGAGTTCTAAAGTTTTGATGTACGGGAACTTTCGAAATCAGGTTCATATAACAGTTCGAGGTGTGCATATTTTTCCTTTTTGTTCCCGAACTCTGAGTTATCTGTATATTCCCCTTAGTATTTTACCCGTAGTTGAAATAAGCGCCCCTCCCTAATAAGCGCCGCACCTTTAACATGGAAAATTAAATAGGCACCGCGGCGCTTAATCGATCATTTACGGTAACTTCCAATCTCCGACGAGCATATCGGAAAGACCGAAAACACTCAAACTGGATGAGAGTATAACAGATTCAAGAAGACACAAATTTGTGATTTTTCACAACTCGATAAAATTACTAATAATGTGTACTCCTACTATGCAAAATTTTTCTTTTCAATTTCAATTTTTCACGATGGAAAGTACCCCCCCGTACTCACCAGACATTGCTTCACAATCAGTGAAACACGCCATTTGCATGGCGTACATTTTGAAGAACATTTGAAAACAACTTGGATTCCTACCCTTATACCTTCATTAAAAATTAAACGCTAGTTGGGTAATTTGTTGTGTTCTAAAAGTAGTTTGAACAGCCGAACGAAATTATTTACACATAGTGGGAAAGGCAAAGTTTCACTTTTCCCTTCTAAGGTAGAAAGTGTCAACAAAACGTGAGAGGTCCCTGAGGGCAAAGCGTCTAATCTAATTTCCTCACCGATTGCAAGTGCCATTTCATCCACGCATGACATCACCTAGTTAACAGAATTAGCAAATGTAATGGGGAAACGTTACGAGAGAACTGGGTAAGAAGTTAGGGTAAGTTTTGAGAATTGGAAAATCCTGGTTACGCTCCTGATAGGGACACTCCTGAAGACCCGAAAGGAAAAGCCATAGGATAGCTCCAGACTGAACCACCCATTAGTAAAAATAGATCATGAAGTTGTCGCGGCGGAGGATAAACTTGAAGGTTTCTGATCAAGTACAATTTCAGACAAGTACAAGTCCAGACAAGGTTATCTACGATGGGCACAGCTTGTTGGACGTCTTACTAACAGGCACATTATCCTTTATTTAGAATTAGGACTCTCTTGAGGTATCCATGCATGGACTAGCGATTTTAAGCTTTTTCAAGAAAACTAAAATCTGGAATTGTCCCTCGGGAGAGGCATTTGCGCACAGTTTAACAGCCCCTTGGTGGGGTGACTGGAGTTTTCTTATCTCCTGTGCTCATACCTCATTCTTCTCAACCTCTTCCAAACCAATTTTCCTGTTCATTACAAAACACTTTATGGAAAGACCAAGAATGTCCTTAAAGCGACATTCGTGATTGAAACAAAATAACTAAATAATTTGGTACGGAACCGTTGTTATTGGTGTTCAAGAGAGAATGAGTCTATTTATTACTTTGCAGACGCCCAATTTGCAAAACCGGAAGTAATGATGTTTATTTCAAGGGCTCATGTCTCATGTGTTCTTCAAACGCTGTAAGTACATTTAGCTGGAACTATCATCGCATCCTCGCTCACTAATAATGATAACTTATATTAATTCCATTATTTATTTTCACGGATTCAGTTGTTTGAAACAAGGCGGTTTCACGTGAGTTGTAACCCCATGCAAGGAACGTGACGATCGACCCGCGATATGTGTGGGAAAGCATATTTTTTTTTCGATCAAGGTCGAAATTGATATGTTTGTCGTCAAGTAAGGTATAATACATTTCAATTTTCATTATTATGGTTAATTTTAAAAGCTCTGGTTTCTATAAAGGAACTGGAGTAAAATCAGGAAAATTCCAGTTCGATTATGGTTGCATTTTATTTACGTGTCGTAGCATAAATATAACAAATTCATTTTCCTTTTTCTTATACAATCTGCTTTTTTCTACTGTTTTTCGCAGCAGAGCTATCGCTTATATTACAGAGGCTAATTTTATTAAATAGACCACTGAGAATTAGTGACAGAATTTCTATTATCGATTGTAATTTTGGCAACACCTGGCGAGTATTCGGTGTAAAGCTTATTGATAAAGTCGCTAGAACACTCTTCTATTCATTACTTTTGTTTTTGCCCAATTTTTTTTACCTACGAACTCGATTTAACTACAAACAATGAGTATTCAGGCAGAGTGGCAGGCTTCAATGCGATGTGGCAAGAGAGATATACGCGTTTGAATTTCAGTTAATTTTACGGGTGTAAAAAACTCAAAAAGTATACCCACCAAAAGTTTAATCGATCGTTGCGAAAACGTTATCAATTTCGACATAGTTTCAAAAACACAATAAAGAGGGATTATAGTTCTTTCAATGTGTATCGGCAAAGGAAGATTAGCTTTGAAGACAGGGTTGTAGTCGAAGGCTCCAAAAACATCTTCTATTAATTAACCAATATGGCGACGGTCTGAAGCACCCCAAAACAGGCCGTGTCGATAATTCCCGAAATAGGAGGAATTAGAACCTAAAGTTACCTATTCCTTATTAAAGACCCCAAATCAAGTCTACATGCCAATTTTTAGCCAATTCGGTGAGATAGTGTGGCAGCGACTTTTCAATATAGTTCGAATCTTACTGACAACTGCTCTTGGGAGTCTGTTCCTACATATATATATCATTCTGCTCTTTAAACTAAAAGATTACCCTCTGCTTTATAGAAAGATGTCTTTCGACAGGGAAAATTGACGTCAACACATAAACTGTCGATAAAAACGAAACTGCAATCGTTCATCATTCTACTGGTAACCTTAAATTACTAAACTGATTTAACCAGTCTGACATTCAAAATGGTTTCTATTTGTAAATGATGATCCTACATTTCAGTCAAACACGAGATTTTCGCTTTTCGGGAGTCAGGGAGTTTATCATGTTTGTTATGTAGAGAGTAAAGTGAGTCAAGACCACTCCCATATTTTCTTAAAGTCATTGCTTGCGTACTTAATGTTTGCATCCTGAGCTCACATTTTTGGTTGAGAGTAATTCTGCAATATATTTTGTAATTAAAGCTAGTTTTGGTTGGGCTGCGTCCATTTTTTATCTAGGATTGGTTGGGGACCCCGGTTGGGGACCTCTGGCAACTAATTTCAAAATTGCCACCAGTCTCTTATTATCCTTTTAAGTAATAAGATTGCAAAACTACGAGTCACACCCTTTCTCTTCGTGGACTGTAACCTTGCTACTTGGTATTTCGTTTGAAAGAACGTTTGTCCAGATCGTGCGTTTGCTGCTCCTCAGTTATCTTTAAAGATAAACAGGAGATGGCACAGTTTACTTTTGTAAGGGGCATTACGTTCTGTTGTTTAATCATCTTTCTAGCTTATGTGGCATATTGCTAAATAAGTTAATTACGTTTTTTTAATTAAGGTGAAAAGCTCTTTGACTAGAGCTTTCCCCTAATGAGCAATAAAGCAGCATGTTGATTACCTCAGTCACAAATTTGCTAATAAACTCTTGCGACGGTTGACTGTTGAGATTTTCGTAATCTTGAAGATATTCAGCATCTACTAACGTCACTTGGAGTGGAAAGTTAACGTCTACAAAATTACAATAGCGGTAAAACATGTCAAAGGACTACAAATCACAAACAGTAATAAAGCTCAAAGGAATTGTTATAAAGTCAACACAACAGTTACAAAGTTTCTCTTTCTAAGTTTGTACCGCCGATTCTCAACCACCAGCTGCTTTTGCCATATTCATTGCAAAGATAGGCTATTGTGGTAGTGTGCACAGGCTCTTATAAATGTCATCCCTAGCTCAGTCACTGTTTGTTTGCATTGTATATACTTTAATGCTTTAAAATATAATCAGTTTGCCCCCTTATAGTTATACATGAGAAATTTCTGCATTTTGAGTAGCTTAAAGCAGTGGTATTTCAGCTTAATTTGAAATACCTACGTGTGAAGGGTAGTAGTATAAACAAATAATATCATGATTTGTAGGTGATATATGGCATAAATACCACTTCCGATATTTCAAATTGTCTCAAATTTCACTCGCCTAACGGCTCATGAAATTACGTAAAACAATTTCAAAATATCCCTCGTGGTATTTATGCCAAATAAATAAAATAATCAAGCCAAATCATGCTATTCTCTATACAAATTTTGCATAAACTAGGGAGCAAGGACTCCATATTCCCGAAAGCATTTGAAAACAATAACATGCATTTCTTCTTGGAGGGGGGCGGCGTGGAGTGCAAAACAGAGTGTGAGTGGTTTTTCCACTATAGCCTTGTTGTTGGTGGTGGCGGTGTTTTATAACAAAAAAATATTATCATTTATAATGTAATACGCAAGGCGGCTGTCTCGAAGTTCTCACCATAGTTAATTGAGTGGAATGGTTATGAAACCCGTCAGGCTCCTTTGTTATATGTTTTTGTGGACCTGAAAGTGCACAACGTTCAAAAGAATTCCTATCATTTTGATTGTATTGACCAATAAAAACGTTGCATTAATTTATTCCGTAACAATTTGCCAACAGAAAACAAAGGATTGTGCACTTGCAGGGTGCTTCCAACATAAACTGCAGCACTGTTGTTTTTATCATTGATGTTTGCCGCTTTTCATAACCAGTCTCCTCTAATAACTATGTTCTCACCAAAAACCTATCATTTCCTAGCCTGCGTCGCAGACGTAATTTAACCTTGGTTAGTAACATCTGCGAAGAAGAGCCGATTTCCTTGTTCTGAGCACCCAGCAGACTTCACGAGTTACCCTTCATCTTGATTGGCAAATTGACAATAACTTTTTTAACATGTCGATTATGGCGTGTAGTGACATCCTGGTACACAGATAGGGCCCAGAACAAGGATTTCGACGCTGTTTCGCAGACGGAAACGTTTCGTAAGCGGCGCAGGCAATCATTTCCCAGCCTTTTTACAGATTGTTTTAACACCGTCAGTCAAAGCCTTATGAAGAGCTTACTGATGAAGCTATGTACTGCCTATACTAGAGGAACATTTCTCTCTTTGTCGTTTCCAGGAATAAGATGAAGATTTTGTCTGGGCATCCAAGGTAACAAACTGATAATCTTCAGGTAAAACATGATTTCCTCGCATTGACCACATTTACATGTACAAATACGTCACTTACTTGTTGACGAAGATGGTGATGCAGTTGTTGTGGCTTCTTCTACAAGTAAACAGTTGAAAGCTAGTTACTGTCTTCGATGGTAGAGATTCAACAGTCTTATGGAAAGCGGTCTGAGTACGAAATTCGCTTATGTCACACAAAGGTACTACACAGTACGGACAGTAGAGACCTTCCCATCACCACCTACAGCAGTACTCGTCATCCAAGTCAATGGCATTTATGTATAACTTATTGTTAACAAAAAGTGTACCTGCGCATGCCGCTGTCCTAAATCTAGCAGTGAAGGCGTAAGCTAGCCTGGAAAGTTAAGATATTTCTGAACTTCTCATGTTATCCGGAGTGCACTCCCTATATATTTGGTCTAAACTGGTATGTGCCGCTTTATTTGCACAATTAAGCTTTTTGAACAGGGTATCACTTTCAACCCGAAGCCTTTTTAAAGAAGTGTGGAGATCTACATGTGTGGTGCCGACAATTTACACACCTCTATCCAAACTTCCCTTGAGTACCCTCACCACCCTACCAGAGCATGCTACTCACCAACTTCGAGTATCACAGTGGTTGTAACCGTCCCAACAGAATTACTCGCAGAACAGATATACAACCCACTATCACTTGACGTGGCCTGACTAAGTTCCCATGCTTTTCCTGTATGTAACGGTTGCCAAATGTTGCCATTTCCTTTGTACCATTGGACTGAAGGTGGAGGGTTCCCATCAACCGGGCAGGTGAGAGTGGCAGAGTCTCCTCGGGAAACTAGGTAGGTCTTATTTCTCTCGGTAACTTGTGGAGAGTCTAAAAGAAAGGAACAGGCATGGTATTTTTGTCTAAAAATCATAAATACCCCTACATTGCTTTGTTTTTATCTTTCCTATGTTCAACGATCCATTCTTGGGCACATTTAGTTGCTAGGAGAAGAGAAGGATCAAAGAGATATTAAGCCTTCACACGATGTCACGACAGCCATATTGGTGTTTCAAAACAGCGAAAACCGAACATATCCTTTAGCAGTTAAACTCTTCTTTTCTTCTTTCCAGTAAAATAGCATAGTTACTGGTTGTTTGAGTGAAAACACTCAGAATTTGGCCAAAATTTGACAGGTGAGTTCATGCGGAAACTTTATGCAGCATCTTGAAACTTGTTTACTTTGACAGGTCAAAAAAAGGCTCGGGAAATTATAAGGATTTGGACAAAACGCGCGTGAAATTATTCCCTAATTTCACTCGTCACCATTTGATTACACATACTAATTTAATGAAGTCGAGCGTAGTTTATGGGCTATTTAGTTTATGCACGTTTGTAACATTTGAGACAATGATCTAACCAAGTATCAGGTTTGATTATAAGCTTATAGAACTTTAAAAAGCCTTTAGACATTTTCTCACTGCAAATAGAAAGAAAACGTTCCAAAGAATATTTAGTTATAATTCTGGCTGTAAAATAAAGCTTTGAGCGATTTTCTTGCCTGGAGTTCATCTTTGAAAAAAGCAAAAACCGGGAGGCCGGCTTACAAAATGTAAAACACAAACAAGGATTTTCAGAGACACTTAAATACTTGTCTTCGTGAATGAAAATTGTTGTCTCTGTATATGTTTCACCGAATTATTTCCTTTTATTGATTGTTAGTAGTTTTTTTTGCAATTTTAGTCGCTGTGACGTTTGTTTTCAGTCACTCATGAACATCGCTTGCATGCAGGAGTAGTCAAATGCCGCGCGTATCAAACGCTTTTGAAGATTACACATCGTTATAAAACCATTAAATAAAAAATAAACATAAATTCTCTATTATGTTGAAGCGTATAACTCTACTAATCATAATTTAAACAGTCGACTTTGGCGCTTATCAAAAGTGAGAACCGGCTAGCCGTACAGGTGATTTTGGAATTTTTTTAACGGTTTCGCTAAAAGCCCATGCGTGCTTCGATCGTCCTGAACATTGAGTGATTGCAGTTTGTATTGCAAAATTGTGAAATACTGCATTCTGTCGAGGTCTGTATGATAAAAACAGCGCCTCATGGTACTGTTTCACCTCAGATGTGAAGTATAAAAAGTATAAAAGGTTGGTTTACACGTCCCCAGACTTGTTGGCAAGATTTTGTAGCGGAGCACTCGCGCGGCTCTGCGACGGCTAGAAATATCAGAGGCCCTGACTATGAGCTGCGTCATTTACATTATACAAACTGGCGACTAAAAATTTGCATCTGGCGACTATATTTCTCCAGTTGGTCGCCAAAAGGTGACCTGACGATTTTTTTTAATTTCGAGCCCTGCTACTGCGAAAAACTTATTGCGTCATTGTGGCAGGAAAACTCGACACGTGATCTAATAACTGAACTTTGTACTAACGTCTGTTTAGTCGTTCGGAGTCGTGGACCTGATCGAGTATGTAGATTGAATGTAGATAATCGAAATTTTGCGCGAATTGATGTCGATGAATTTTTCAAGTGTAGAACAGAGAACATAATTTTAAAATATGAACATGTGAAGAGATATACTTTCAAGGGAGTGAAGAATTAAATACTAAATGAACTGGTTGTATCACACATAACTTGTGACATCTACTTTTATTAGGAAGGAAGAAAAGTATAAAGATACACAGAAGCATTGACATTTTTTAGCGTGATATGAGTACATACAAAATGTTTAGCATAGACTATTTCTACACTTTCCTAACATATCTTTGACATACTGCTGTATAACAAGCATTCTGGGTGAAAAACCCGAAGAAATAAAAAAGGCAATTATCGAAATTAATATGACATAATTATTTACATACTGTATAAAAAGTAAAGACAAGTATAATTTCAGTTTTAAAACATATTATGCGTTGCGTACTACGCTCTAGTAATGTTCTTACAATAGTTGGACATCTCCTCATCACGATAGCAATTCAAAAATATTTCCAACACCAAGGTGAAAACAGAAACTTCCTGAAAGGTGCTGGAAATGTATCATTCTCTTCCGCAACAGTATTGCAGGACTCGAGAATCCATGGCATTACTACCTGTACCAACTGGGAAGTCATCAATGAAAGTAATTTCCTTCCTTCTCCACTGGGTGACGTAATTGCTCGGTCTTGTGGTAAGAATTTCCGCTGACGACATGCAACTCAGCATTACTTTTAAAAGTGCTTCTTCTCTTGATATGACATCTCCCGGATGTTGTGTAATACAAATGTAAGTTGAAATTCAACAAGGACACGAAAGATACTGATCTTATCTTTTCTCATCGCCATCGTCCTTCATTAATACTGTTCATTGCGTTTGCGATGAAATGACATCCTTTTCGTCTTAAGTCCGTCACACGTGACGTCTATTCATAAATCGTCCTTATGTTATTATCATCGTAAGTTTTCATTACTACTTTTCTTAGTCTACCATTGTTAATTTTCACTTTTTAGCCCGCCTCGATTAGCTTGTGCTATTTGCGGGCTAAGCTGTCTTTGTAACTATATATGTTGTTGTTGTCGTCTTAATTCGCAATTAGCTAATTTAAGTCGAAGTAAGTATAGTTTATGTTAAGCTCTGACCGGGAGGTCCTTGGTCCGCGACTTTTCAGAACTAGATGTAAATATTTCGTAGTTAAATAAAGTAAAACATAATTGGATACCTCCAATGATTTATATGACGAAGTTTCAGCGTTACTACTGTTGGTTGAGTCCCACAAATCACGTGTGTTGACAGGTTGGCGAATTATGAGACATTTTCCTTCTTTCTTGTCCATCACTACAGTGTCAGGCTTGTTTGCCTCCATCTCCAAATCTGTTTGAACTTTAAAGTACCACAAGATCTTTGTGTTCTCTGACTCAAGAACAAACTTAGGTGTATGATCATACTATATTTTGCCTCTCTCGAGGACTATAGCGTCTATCACTGAAGCAACTTTGTCGTGTCTACAGTTCCTGTAATGTTTTTGCACGAGCTTCATCATTCTGCCACCACATGTGCAACCGTTTCCTTTCTCTCTCTACACATTCTACATGCAGGCGACAGCTCTTGTTTATCAACTCTGAATTTAATGCTATTCGTCACTTCTCAGTGCCCGGTCCTGAGCAGCAGTTAATAACCCCCCCATCTCTTTTTTTTTTCTTACTTAAGTGCCTTCTTATCTTTTCCAATGTCGTTCAGAATCTGTTCTTGATATACTGCACGTAGTGCAATTTCCCCAGTTCTACTGATGTAATTCCCAGGGCTGTTAATCTCTAGCATTACACACTCTTCCGCGCCGATCAGTCCCCTTCCACCTTAGTGATCTTCTAAGGTATAGTCTTTCGATATCAACCTATGGATCCAGTGCTCAATAAATTGTGAACAATTTACGTGTTTTCCTATCTATTTGACGGAGCTCTTCTTTCGACCATTCAATTATTCCAGCTCCTGAGCGAAGACACTGCTCGAGGAGCTTCAATTATTTTTGTTAATACATGTATAAGTTTTCAGTTCATAAGACCCTATTTCTTCTCCAAGGGCCGAGCTAGTCTGCTACACAGCCGTATTTAGTGTCGTCACGCAACGCTCCTCCCCTCCTCCACTCCTGTGGGGAGGAGCGTGGCCTGACGACACTAAAAATGGCTGTGTAGCAGAGTATTGACGGATAGGACCTTCCGTAGAATATGTGCCGTTCCCACTAATGTTGTCTTTTGAATTTCCCAGAGGTTGACGTTTCCTGGAATTTCTCTGACAAGCTCCTCTGAACCTTTCTTGTTCACCCGCCCCCCTAACGCACCTACAACCACTGGAATTATTTCACTCTTCATCTGCCACATTCTGGTAATTTCTATTTCCAGATCTTTATACTTAGAAAGTTTTTCGGAAACCTTGAAGGAGGTATTTTCATCAGAGGGTATTATTATTATTATTATTATTTGTAGCTCAGAGACATGATACAATCCGAGATCGTCTGACGTCACACATCAGTAAAGTGTGCAGAAATGTGGAGACAGAGCCACTCCTGCAACCACTGGACAATGAAGTGTTCAACCTTCAGTCCACTGTTACAAGTCGAGAAGCGAAGCTGGATATGAAGGCAGGAGGTTTTTGGACACCAGGCGTAACGGCATTCTTTGACGTACGTGTAACGCATGTTAACTCCCGGTCCAACCATGGCAAGTACACAGCTACGATCTTCAAAGAGCAAGAAAACGCGAAGAAGAGGAAATACAACCAGAGAGTGATGGATGTAGGGATGGGAACCTTTACACCACTGTTGTTTGGTACAAACGGGGGCATGGCACTCGACTGTCAGAACTTTTTAAGAACTCTCGCAAATAAGCTTTCGACTAAGAACGATGAACCCTTCGCCAGCGTTATTTCCTGGCTTCGAATACAGCTCTCATTTGCTATATTAAGAACTGTACACGGATGCGTCAGAGGATATCCATTCAAATCACGTGAGGTCTCAGAAGACTTCGCTTTCGCTGTAGCTGGTCTACATCTGCACTCATAATTTTAGGCCTAGATTTTTGATAGCTTTTTTTCTTAGTAATGCTTGATTTTCCTTTTCCCACTCTTAAATTATTTACTATTGTAAATAGTTTTCTATCGTGGACATATATTTAGTTTTTAATTAGTATCTTAGAATTCTGAATTTTGATGGGGTTTTGCCCGAAATTTGTATTTATGTAATATTGATTTTGACGTTTGATTTTTATGAACATTTTACAGAAGTTTTGTGTGTAGTTTTTATAAGATTTTAACAAAGAATTTTTCAGTTATTGTTATTATTATTATTAATATTATTATTATTATTATTATCATTATTATTATTATTGTCATTACTACATTTTCATTATCAATGCCAATAGGTACATCGACAAATATCCTCTCCAAGAATCATATCAGTAATCATGACTAACGCTTGATCGATAACAGATACCAGTTCCGTCATAAACTTGATGAAATTGTATCCGTAAACATTTTGAAGGAGGTAAAAGACCTTTGTACAACTTGCTATTACAACGCCGTGATGAGTTTAAACTTGATGTTTTAACTTCATTAATTATAGGGAAATCACAAAAAGGTCCCCATTTTGAAACCTTCGATATATACAAACATCAAAAAGCATTAAACACAAAACTTACAAAGAACAGAAATATTTGCCACAGCTTTAGCAGGACTCTCCACTCCATTACTGGCTGTGCACTGATACTGGATTATATTATTAATGGTATCGTTTCTGTTCAGAATCCCAGTATTGAGTACTGCATTGTAAGAAAGAGCTTCTAAACTGCCAACTTTCGCCCATGTAAGGGTGGGGTCAGGTTTACCAGTTGCATTACAATGTAATGTTATACTCTCCCCCTCCTTCACAATGTCTGCTGTTTTATTGATTTCTACCAGCGGAGCATCTGCAAAATAATAACTGTTGCTTAGTAACAAGTATATTAACGGGATTAAGCTGATAGAAACTTAACAAAGCTACCTAACTAGAAGGGAACAAAATCCAAAAGGCCCAATAGGTGAAACACTGACTGAATCAATGCATATTCGGTGTTTTGATCTGCAATCTACTTACCAACAACAACGACGCTGACAGTAACATTGTCCCCCGCACCAACGTCGTTGATAGGAACACACATGTACACACCATCGTCCTGCACAGGGTGATTTAACACACCTGAGGGGTTATTTCCAACAGGATTGCCATTATAGTAAAAGAAAAACATATTCGCAGCAGGATTAGCATCTGTATTGCAGTCAAGTGACAAAGTAGAACCGCGCAACACTGTGGTGTTTGTTGGCATTGTTGTCAATGTTGAAGCTGAGGGGCGATCTATACCAAGAAAATGAACATGTTCATGTTATAATTTTACTAGCAGCCAAGAAAAACCTGAGTACAATCAACGTTATTTATCATTCGCCATTTATCAATCAGTAATTGAGAGTCACCTCCTTTTCTAATTCATATTATTAGTTCATTATTATCATTGCGTGATTTCTCACGCTAAAACATGTAGTTATGCAAGGAAAATCCTCATTAATTGCTTATTCACCGTCGTCTAGCTCGGCAGAGAAACACTGTTAAGACTTAGCGGACATTAGTTTGATCCTGCCAATCATAAACGGCACTTGGATTGCATACCCGCAGTCAAGTGCGATAAGAGTTAAACGCGAGAAAAGAGAACTAATCCTGGAGTAAACTTAAACTAAAAGAAACGACACCTTACACTCCCACTGAACGTTAGTCCTGTAAAGGGAAATCAAGGAACCACTCAGTTCAAACCATTTTGTTTATGGATTACAATGCGGGCGTTTTCTCAAAGTGCAATAACTGAAATTTAAGAATTTATTCATGCTTAGCGTGCGTATATCGAGTTATGGATGCAGGCGGGAAGTTTGGAGAGCACGAAAGATGCGTAAGAGTAGCTCGAAGCGCAGCCGAGAGCAACTCTCGCTACTTGAGTGCTCTCCAAACTTCCCGCGTGCATCCATAACTCGATATACGCCCAGCTAAAAGCATGAGCAATTTCTTTTATAACATAGCTGACAAAAATATTTGCTTTTTAATTAACTGCAAAATTCTCGTAACGCGCGACACAGAAAAACAAACGCTCCTTTTGGCTGGTTACAAACACGCCACAATCGTCGTTTGAAAGAAAATTCTTTCTCTAAAACTGAGAAAAAAAACTTGCTTATTTATTCGTTAACGATCAATGAAAACGAAGCAGAGACTAAGGTAAAAGTCCACTTAAAGTTAAAATACTAAGAGGAGGGGTATGGTTTGGATTCGCTGAGAAGATGCCGTTATATTTTGCTCGGCGAAATGCAGACAACTTGTTTTTTAGCGAAGACGACTGTCATCCTACTTTATATTCATTTACGAACAATGGCTGGTCATCACGGATTCTTGAGAAGACCTGGCAGCAGGTTGTCTTTGTGAGTAATAAATGTGTGTCTTCTTGCGGTGTAATTTGTATTGTTATTGCTAGAGTAATTTAATTTTCCTGCTTCAGTCGGATTGTTCGGCAATAACAAAAGTGCATAATTTTTCGCTATTGAGCTTATTTTATAATTAACTTGTTTTGTAAAGGATAAACAAACGTTAAAAACACTTTATATAAATTGGATATTTCCTGACACAGACCAATTTGTGGTCTTTTTCCAGCTGATTGTCAGTTTTTACGGCACACTTTTCAACTATTCAGGCTCTAAGCTAGAAGCTAAATTCCCAAAATCCTAGAAAGTTTTTCATCATTGCCGTCGATTTTTGGGTACTAAGCACTTAGGATGAAGAGGTGAAAAACACAGCTGAACACGTCATCATGAAAAAGATCTTTATTTACGCACGGGCGTGCGTAAATAAAGATTTTGTTTATAGCGGCTCAATGCGACTTATATAGGGCAAGCACACGCGTTATGTTGTCAGTAATGTTTTTACACTCAGTGACGTAGGCGACTGAGAAAAGAAAATGCAAGTACCTTAAAAAAGGAGCTGAACAAATAGCAATCTCTAAAAGATCCAAGAAAATACTGTGACTGACTATGACAACAAGTGCAACAGTGGTTCCGCATATGGAGGCAAAAAGGTGAGAAGCAGTTGTATTTAGAATTTGACGTTAACTTTTTATCTAATGCGCACCCACGTTCTGTGAGGTCTTATTCTCTTGAACGCTTCATCACCGGAATAATACCTTGATTGCGATTTGTACTTTACAGGAAAAACAAGATTCAGAAAGGTCAAAAGAGCCGATTCAATCCAGCAGGGTTAAACGGTGTTCAGAGTAAAAAACTTGATTGGAAATATATGCGACAGGTGTCCTCTGACGCTTTGGCCGCTCATTTATGTCGAGGGAACAAACATATAAACAGCTTGCATAACATTACCTCTCTAAATCAGGTTCTCAGGGTGATGGGTTTGGATAGCCACGACAGACCACAGTTCGAAGGTAAGATTTATTTCACAGATCAGTACGCATTTTTCGAAGGTCCTGGTAATTGTAGGGTGTTGAAAGCAGTTGTATGTTTCCAATGTTTGCTTTCAAAAATTAACTGTTTAGTGGATTAGGAAAGCATGCAGCCCGAAGTCAGTAACAAATTAACAAAGATGATTTTTCGAGAAACCGGCCACAGTACAGTTGGAAAAATTGGATTTCTGAAATTGCTTTACAATTTCTTTGTTTTAGTCTAAAAAGCAAGTTCATCATTTTGCCCTATAGTTTGGAGACTATGTTACTATTTCTCTATGCAATGAAACTTACAGTGAACAGTTATATTTGCCACAGCTTTAGCAGGACTCTCCACTCCATTGCTGGCTGTACACTGATACTGGATTATGTTATTAGTGGTATCGTTTCTGTTTAGAATCCCAGTATTGAGTACTGCATTGTTAGAAAGAGGTCCCGCATTGCCAACTTTCGTCCATGTAAGGGTGGGGTCAGGTTTACCAGTTGCATTACAATATAATGTTATACTCTTTCCCTCCACCACAGTGTCTGCTGTTTTATTGATTTCTACCAGCGGCGCATCTGCAAATAGTCATTGAATTAGCTTAGCAAGGACAATGTACTGAACAAAATATGTTCAAAACGTGACGTGACAACAAAGCTCTCTAACACAATTGACTAGAACCTAAAGTACAATGTAAACCACTGAATGAATCAATGCATGTGCGGCCTGTTTACTGACTCACCAACAACAGTGACGTTGACGGTAGCATTGTCTCCTGTGCCGACTGTGTTGATAGGAACACAAGTGAACAATCCATCGTCCTCAACAGTGCGATTGAACACACCTGAAGAACTGCTCTCTAACAAACTTCCTTTAAAGTAAAAGTGGTACATATTGGCAGGAGGATTAGCGTCTGTAGTGCAGGTAAATGACACGTTAGATCCACGCAGCACTGTGGTGTTACTTGGAATAGTTGTTATTGCTGAAGAGGAGGGTCCGTCTACAGTTAAAGGAACATACAAAGCAAACAAAATAATAAAAAATGTATCATTTCAAAACATACACCAGGGTCGTAAGATTCAAATTGTATTTTGATCTTGTAAAAAATTGAAACCCAGAAATAGTAACAAGTAGGTATACACGGACCACAGTGGTCATAATAAAAACAATAAAAGAGAGATACAATAAAACGAGGACCAGCAATGTCCGATTTCATTATAAGTAACCTGACTTACTATTCCAAGCGTTTCTATTTATAACAGTTAGTTTGTTGAGGTTAGCTGTGCGAGACTGATCGAGGAATCCACTATTTGTGGGTACTGAGTGGACAGTATAGTCATATTTAACTGTAAGCAAGCAAAGATGTCCATCATGTTTTGGTCAAACGTAATATAATAGCACGGTAGATGCTGTAACTGACAACTTAAGCGAATGTAGCCCATACTTACAGTTAACAGTAATATTTGCAATAGCTGTAGCAGGACTCTCCACTCCATTACTCGCTGTACACTGATACTGGATTATGTTATTGATGGTATCGTTTCTGTTTAGGATCCCAGTACTGAGTACTGCATTGTTAGAAAGAGGTCTCGGATTGCCAACTTTCGTCCATATAAGGGTGGGGTCAGGTTTACCAGTTGCATTACAGTACAACGTTATACTCTCCCCCTCCACCACAGTGGCTGGTGTTCCATTGATTTCTACCACCGGAGCATCTGCAAATAGTTTTAAATTAGCTTAGCAACGGCAATACACTGAACAAAAGATGTTTAAAACGTGACGTGACAACAAAGCTGCCCTAACAGCTAAGGTATAATGTAAACTGATGAATGAATCAATGCATGTGTGGTCTGTTTACTGACTCACCAACAACTGTGACTTTGACGGTAGCATTGTCTCCTGTGCCGACTGTGTTGATAGGAACACAAGTGAACAATCCATCGTCTTCAACAGTGCGATTGAACACATCTGAAGAATTGCTCTCTATCAAACTTCCTTTAAAGTAAAAGTGATACGTATTGGCAGGAGGATTAGCGTCTGTAGTGCAGGTAAATGACACATTAGATCCACGCAGCACTGTGTTGTTACTTGGAATAGTTGTTATTGCTGATGATGAGGGCCGATCTACAATGCAAATCAATGTCATTAAACAAAGGAATTCGACGCGGTGAAAATGGTGAAAAGAATCAAAGACAGGTGATTTCAGAAAAGTACTTTTTCCTGACGTGAAGAAAATGATTAAGCTAGAGTTAAAATATCGTGCTAAGATGGCGTGTATATCGAGCTTGTGGTCATCTTAAGTCATAATTTTTAATGATTTACTGAATAAAGCACCGGTTAAATAGTGATGAGATAGTGAGGATTAGACTCAGAAATTCATTGTGTTAGTTGGTTACGGGTTAATTTTCTTATTGGACAGATATGCAGTTACACTTTTCACCAGGTGAAAGTATTCTAAGGCCAGAAACAGTGCAGTCAACAAGCATTATAACGTCCTCCTCGGAAAGTTAAAAAACAGGTTTCCCAACATTAAAAATGCACAAATGTAGATGACACAAGGAGACCAATCGTGCAAAAGAAAAATTTTCAGAATTTTACCCGAGCGTTATTTTCACGAGCAGTAGTAAAAGACCGGTAATTACTGTGAAACTCAAGTGTAAAAAATGTAATGGCTTAAATCATTGACTCATACCTGATAGCATGAAAAAGATCCAGGGCTCTAATAACTTTAGGACTTGACATCAGAAGAAGCAACAGACAGCTACCTGTTTTCTTAGCGTTTTGTGCAGAATGACACTAAGACTCGTTTACATCTCCACAGCACGGAAAAGTACTTTTCTTAAAGTAAGCACGACACATTTACTTTACATGTAAAGCGCAGTATAAAAAGACCTTCTTTGGTGAAAAATTCGAACTACACACATGCCCAAGGGAGGTAACACTAGAAGCCTTGCCGCCTTTCCGGGTGAAATTTCTGACCCTGAAACAGGTCCACCTGGTAAAAAATTCCATCGCCAGTGAACAAAACTATTACTCGTCCTGATGAGAAAGAACTATGGACCACCATTCCTTTCAAAACATCAAGTCATAAAGGCACCGCTGGATCCCGGATATCGATCTTTCAACGACATCAGTTATGAAAGATTTGGGAATCGAAGGTATACACTTACAAGAATCCGACAGTGTAATACGAAAGCTATCTTTAAAGGAATTGTTGTCAAATTTAAGGCGAGAACTCCTTTAGGTTTAAGGCGAAACAACTACTAGATAGATTCAGCACCATGGTTCGCGACAAATACTTATACGACTCAGGTCTGTCAAATGTTACTCATTTTTGGTAGGTCGCCTTTTCTATAACTGGTGACGCAGTAGATCTTCTTCAACACTACCTTAACTGTCGGACCTTATTAAAGAGTCTGAGGAAAACGAGTCACGTGTGTCGTAAATAAAATTTTAGGGACTCCCTGCCCTTTTCCTTCCGTTCGTTTCGTGTACATCTGTATAGTATTGAACATTGTTAAATACGATTTACATGAAAAAAGTGACTTACATTCAATTAATTCTTATTCTTATATAGTACCCTTTTTTCTTCAAAGTAAGATAATTATTATTTTTTATCGTAATTATTCTTCTCCTTCCTCTTCTTCTTCTTCTTCTTCTTCTTCTTATTATTATTATTAACTTAAATGATTATAATTATCACTCTTATTGTTATGTCATTTTAAATTTCATCAATTAAAATTTAGAAAGAATAAATGGAAACGTAAAAGACCCAGCCTACACTTCTTTGTTGGAATAATAAAAAAGCAACAAAGAAAAATTGAAATAAAACAGATACTTCAAAAAATGAGGGAACATAAGCAACAGTTGCAGTTAGTGAGAAGTAATAAGCATAACTCAATCAATCGCTGATCCTCAAGCAGCCAAATGAAGTAAAATGGCTGAGTGAAATGGACAGCTCAGTACAAAATTAAAAAAAAAAGAAAGTTAAGGGAGGGGCGGGGGTGGTTGTTCCATTTTTTCACTCCGTTCCTTTCTTCTTCTTGTCCACGAGAAGAGCTTCGTGATGTTGACACACAGTACAAGTAGTTTCTTATTTTGGTACTTGGGAGTTAGGTAATAGTTTTAAGTAGATTTTCCCTGTTGGTTTAGTTAATTACAAGCTGAAAACTACAAATAGGCAGACAAGATAAAAGATAATTTTTCATTACTGTGATTCACACTTTCATAAAGTTCGACGTCTTTTATGTTTACCCAAATGCAATACATGTAATGCACAAATGGTGGAGTCATGGACACAAGTGGCGAGGAATGAAACAATTCTTTCTTTGCCAATCTCTTCCACTCACGCGCTCTTTTGGCTTTTGGAGGTGTTTCTCGATGTTGCAAAGATCATTTCCTTTTTCTTTTCTTTACTTTTTGGAGTGCGCGAGAGGATTATACTGACTAACGCTTGACCTAGCCTCTTAAATTGTCAACAGTCAGGTTATATGTTATCGGTAAAGAAGTTAGGTCCACTTCATAACTCGTGCTTCTACAGTGCCGAACTTTCGCCAAAGGCATGGCAGAAACACGACTTCTGAGTAAACATTTTAAGTTTGGTTCGGTAGAACAATTAAATTCGACAAGGTCTGCCGTGCTACACGACTCTGGATGGCAGTAATTCAAATATCTCGAACTAAATTCATAAATTATGACAATGTGTTTCCGGAAATGTGAAAGTTCTCCCCTATCATTTGAAAGATCTCCCAAACTTCTCCTTCCCACGCTAACTAAAACGACATATATTGATTACAGACTTTGAAAGTTGACCATATCCGTCGTTTTCTCCACACAGTGTATAGTGTGTGTGTGTGTTATTTACTAACCTATTTTGTTTGTTTGTTCTTTGCTACTATTTCAAAAAAGAGTTGAGTTCGGCACGGCAGAAGCACGACATATGAACTGAGCCTTTCTTTCACGCATTGACAAAGGGAAGTGTTTTAAGTGATACTTGTACATTTCATGTGAAGGAGAAAAGAGAGCTTAATGAGCAGACCTTATCGAAGGGTTTTCACATGATTATAAAACAAATCAATTGTTAATAAAAGCCCAATTTGCCACTTGGCCATGCACTAGGGTTGGTCCCTTACGAGAGAGTTGAACGTATTTTTATTTAGGGTATCAGTTTTTATCTTTCGACCAAATTGCCTTACGCTTATCCTAAAATATTACAATAAACAACAACGAGTTTCATACAAAAGAAAATACAAGGACATCTCTGACATGTTCTAAAAGTTTTATCGCAAGACAAGTGTTACACAGTTGTCTAGAAAAAAAAACAGTTTTTTTCTCTTCACAAGCTTTGTTCGAGTAAACAACACTATAATTTGTCCCATTTCATTTTGAGTTATCATTTGCTTGACCTCTCTGACAATAATTGTCAAACCAAGATTAAATTGTGCTTTTGTTCTACATATCTAAAGAGACAGACTTTGAAATGCATATAGGTCCCAATATGTTGTTTATAATGTACATAATAGCGGACTTAAGGCTACAAAACCTGCACAGTAAACCAGACTGCAAGCTGTGGGCAGGAGTTACCTTCCACTGGATTTTCAAATTTAGACTGTATTGCTAGGGAGAACCTTAAAGATTGGGTATTGTACCCTGTAGAATAGAATAACAACACCAAAAATGGGAATATGGGTAGTGGGTCAAACATCAACCCAAAACGTACTGGCCATATGGTGGGTTAGAGATAGATATTTAGATATATTCTTGGCAAAGGATTATAAAAGTATAACCAATCTACAGTTAGTCTTTTAGCAAAGAAGCATTAAACACCAAGAGAAAGCTCCATTTGCTGAATGAAATTTGTAGCCAGCTACATGTAGTTCTCAAAGCCCTTGAGTTCATATTTGTTATATCAATAAAATCTTCTATTTAATAATAAATGCAACTTACAGTACACATCAATTTCACAGGTCTGTGTGCTATTTCCGATCTCATTTGATGCATGACATATATAGCTGCCCCTTTCACTCCTTGTTATAGCTGTTATCACAAGAGTCTTGGTAGGCGACTCAATATTTCCTGAACTCGCATTGATCCATGCAACATTGGGCACAGGGTAACCAGTAGCGTTGCAATAAATCGTTGCATTATCACCCTCAGTAACTGGAGTGGGACATCGTTTGAATGTCACAGTTGGTTTAACTGAAGGATACAAACATAACATTAGTCGATACAATAGTACCGTAAAATTCCGTAAAATAAGCCCCTCCAAGTATAAGCCCCCCAAAAAAAAAAAACTCGTTAACGCAAAAAACCCTCCTTTAAATCGCCCCTCCAGATAAAAGCCCCAAGGGGCTCGTACCTGGAAATACAAAAAAATACAAGAAAGCAAAAACTGTACATTAAAACAATAATAATTGCATTTCTCATACAGCTGTAGAACTATTAAGTGTGCTAAATGATTGCGGCCAAAAAGGGTCACAGTATATTGCTGTTTGCGTAGTTCACTCTTTACTCTTGTCCTGTATTTCCTTATTCCATATAGACAATGCACTCGCATGGCTGAGTTTTAGTAAGATCTACGTGTACTATCATAAGTTTAAGAAAGAATGGAAGTCCTGTCTTCTAACCAACCAAATCTGACCTTGCTTATATGTTCTATCACTGATATTATTTCAGATTTTATTCCTCTCTTTACTGCTGCCAATTATTCCAATATGACGGTGTCCAACAAGAAAGCTCTCGCTACTTTGGACACCGTACACAAATGAACTTAATATCTTTTAGTTAATTATTATTTATAGCTACTTTATTTTCCTACTATGTACACTTATGTAAATATCTTATATAGTGTGAATAAAGAACTGAATTGAATTGAATTACGTCCTCAAGGCGAGTTTCAGTTAAAATATCTGCTAATAACTGAGATAAATTTCCTTGCAACTATAAGCGAGCCCAATCGATTTTAAAACGCAAATTTCCCTACGTAAATAAGCCCTTCCAAAAATAAGCCCCTCAAGAAGGGCTTTTGAAAAATATAAGCCCTGGGGCTTATTTTTTGGAATTTTAGGGTATTATATCTACAGTTGTAGGTGGGTCCAAAACCCGGTATAACTAAAAGTAAAATGACTTGTCATGTCTACATACATGCATCTGAGGGAAACTGAAACAAAAAGCTCGACAAACTAAACTTTTCAATCTGAAGGGATTAATGGTATTATAGTTGTTATGGTCTCCCTGTGCGTTTTACCATATATAGTAATTACATACACACGCATAGATTCAATAAAACGTGTTTGTAGTCATGAACCGCCATGTTGTCCAGGTGCGTTCTCGGATCTCTTGGCAGTACATGACAATTTTGGCGACGAGGATGGGATCTTAAGGGATATTCTACTGCGAAAAAGTGAGGACATTCCTAAACAAGACCCACACGACGTTTCAAGATGCCAAACGAGTCTGATACGGCACCAAATTCGGTTCGTAAAATCAGGAACGTTCACAAGTTCACAGTGGGAGCTGACTTCGAAGCGTACGCAGAACAGCTAGAATTCTTCTTCGTGGCCAGTAGAGTGACCGACTCAAAACAGAAGAAAACCGTCCTGTTAACTAATCTTCCCACTGAAACGTACCAATTGGCGAAAGACTTGATGGCCACGACATTGTTAAGAGAAGATTCTCTCACGACACGATCGTAGAGCATCTCCAAAAGCAATTGAAGCCCCAGAAAACTGCCTTAGTCACCAGGTATGAGTTTGACAACCGAGCGCGTGACGCAGGAGTAACGGTGAGTCAGTATGTTGCTGTTCTAAAGCATCTAGCCACGGATTGCAAGTTTAATGATGCCATGCGTCTGGAAAGGTTTTGCGTATTGGAAATACATGTAACAGAATGATGTCAGAGCTCTTGAAACTCAAACATTTGTATTGCTGTAGTGAAGTGCATCGCTATTGAGCAATCTTACAAGGATGTTGAAGCTCTCCCGGGGGCAGTAAAGAGTCAAACCCAGTCGATTTGTTAGCCAAGTCAAGGCCAAGAAAGGAGCCTAAATCTAAGAATGAAGTTAAGCCTTCAGAGAAAAAGGGGTTCCCTATCCCCTAAAGAGCCGGGTGATCAAAGTTGCTACCGCTGTTTGGGAAATCATGATCATAAAAGTTGTCCGTTTCCTAGCTTTCATAAGCCACGTCAAGTTTCATATGCACTCCACCCCAAGGTAGAAGCAGAATTGACACGTTTAGAGAAGGATGGTATTCTTTCTAAGGTAGAGTACAGTGAATGGGCTACTCCGATTGTCACAGTCGTTAAGCGAAACGGATCAGTGCGTGTGTGTGGTGACTTCAAGGTTTCAGTCAATCCAGTACTTCTTGCAGAACAGTATCCTCTGCCACACATATAGGATATTTTGGGGAATTTGGCTGGGGGTAAGCATTTTAGCAAACTTGACCTGCGCCAAGCTTATCACCAGATGGAAGTAACAGAGGAATCCAAGACATTCCTCACGATCAATACACACAAGGGCCTCTTCCAATACAATCGCTTAGTTTTTGGCATTTCTTCGTGTCTAGCAATTTGGCAAAGTGCCATAGACCAGGTATTACAGGGAAGACCAGGCACCCAGTGTATCCTCGATGACATGGTTGTTATAATAATAATAATAATAATAATAACAGTAATAATAATAATAACAATAATAATAATAATGATTTATTAACAGATCCACTGGGTGGCTCTTCCCTGTTAAATTACATTAATTACAATTACAAAATAAATCGAATTAAGTTATTTACAAATTGTGCAGTAGAGGCAGGATTAACAGAATCCAATTACAGTGACTAATCGCTCTGTATTCTGTTTCTTAAAAAATTCCTTGAAAGTCTTAAAAAGGTTCTGTAATCTTTACAGTTTCTAATAGTTTCTGGTTTTCAGTCGGGACTACTAATCTAATTCAATTGCTTGAACGCAGTTCCTTGGGGCGTTCCTGTTTTATTATTAATATATAGATTTAGCCAGGGCTAAAAGCGAAGCTCCCGTTAATAAATTCATAATTTAAATCAAACAATAAACTTGTAATCCACAGATGAGGGCACATTCATGTGACTTTTGAGGCAAATTAAGGCTAAGTGATTTTAGAGAAAAATAATTTGACAGTCTAAGAGTGAAACAAAGTTTACATCGAGTTGATAGTCTTATTTGTACACCCAAAAATAGCAATCATGTTCGATCACAGTAGATTAGGCCTGGAAAACAAATAGACCTATTCGTGTATTGTATTTGAATTAGTTGTTGCATCATAATGTCAATTAACCAGTCCCTCCAACATTGCTAAGTTAGCGAGACTATGGATAATTGGACAACCCCGAAATATAATTTAAGAAACACACGAGCCACGATAGTCATTGGTGGCAGCCAATTTACACGTTGCATTCCTCTGTCTAAAAGGGAGGCCAAAATAAAGAATCAGACCGGATTTTTTGTGTTCGGCAAGTTTAGTTTACAAGTACATCTTGGCGACGAATCTGGTGGCGTGTAAACCAGCCTTTTAAACACACTTTTTCTCATCACGTCTCAGGTAAACGGTACTATGAGGCCCTTTTTTATCATACAGACCTCGGACAGAATTTGTTCTTTTTTTGCCCTATTTAAACCTATAATTCTGCAGTTTTTCACAATTTTGCAATACAATTTGCACTCATTCAATATCCACGACGATCAAAGCACGCCCTTCCTTTGCACAAAAAATTATAGCATTGAATTATAAAACGTTTTCATGAAAAGAATTCCGTTTCCGTTAGAAAAATCTGGTCCTATGTGATATGCAGGGTAATAATTATGGGCTTTTAGTGAAAACGATAAAAAAATTCCCAAAATCACCTTTTCGGCCAACCGGACGGGTTCTCACTTTTGACAGGCACCAAATTTGCAGTGCGAACATAGAGTTACCATTTACGCTTCAACATGATAGAGAAATTGTTATGTTTAGGTTTTATTTCCCTTTATTTCTTAAACTGTGTATGGTTTTGTTATGTGTAATCTTTAAAAGCGAGTGATATTTACGCGCCGCGTTTTGAGTATTCCAGCATGCGATGCTTATGTTCGACTCAGGAAACAACCGGTGCAGCGATAAAAATTGCGGGAGGGACACCTAAAAATCAATAAAATAAATATAATTCGGTGAAACGTGTACAGAGACAATAATTTTCACTCACGAAGCGAAGTATTGAGAGTAAAGTGTCTCTGAAAATCATGAGTCAGGTAAGCATAAGCTTATTTATGCTTTAAGCCGGCTTCCCGGTGTTTGCTCTTTTTCAAGATGAACTCGAGGCAAGAAAATCGCTCAGAGCCTTCTGTTTGCAGCCAAAATCATAACTAAATAATCTTCGGAACCTTTTCTTTGAACTTGCGGTCAAAAAATGTCTAAAGGCTTTTTAAACCTGGTACTATTGTAGATTAGATCATTGCTCGTGTATAAACTTAAGCCGCATAAACCATATGCTCGACTTCAGGAAACCGAAAAAAATACATCAAAGACAATAATTGCTCAGGCTTACAAGTCGAGATGCTGCTTCTGAAGGTCATCAAGTGTTCCAGAATCGCTGGAGACTTTTCAACACTCTTGCGTCTCAAGCAAGGGCAAGTGAGTAAGCTCATTCTTGAAAACGATGCCATCCGAAATCGGATTTCCAATGACTTCGACAAGCGGTGCATTTGTCAACATAAAGCGCACTAAACAAACCCGCCATGAATTACAGAACAATCTTGATGGCAGCTGTATTTCATTTTGTACACCAAGTAGAAAAAGACAGTTTAAAACATCACAAGATGATACAAAACTGTGTGAGCTACGGTGCTTAAATTTTCCGCATGAACTCACCTGTCAAATTTTGACCAATCAGAACATAAAAGTTGGACGTAGAGCGTGATAAACGCGAGACAGTGAGAAAAGACAAAAGAGATTGCCTAACCTGCATGTAAAAGCCGGTTGAATTTTCGCGTCCGAAGTCAGTTTGAAATCAAAATTTTAAAAATGCGGCTCATGAACCCCACCCTATTTCATATGCATTTTTAAAAAATTAAACTTGAGCCTGCGATCATTTGAAAAGTAGCAACTTGTGAGCGGATACCTTCAAAAAACACTCGAACTCAGTGGGTCGATACCTGAGCCTGCGATACGGTCAGGCGATACTAGTCAGCAGAAACACTATTTTGACAGCTGTAAGTTAATCAAAACTTGGATGTACAATATCAGGTTGGAGGCTCCCAAACTAGCTAGAAAGTGTGAGATAAACCATTGGTATACCTGTGGTGCAGACGGAAGGTGGGGTGGTTGGTGTACGGTCACGTGATTGCCTAATTTTCTAGGATGGATAGATTTTCTAAGCTATGGCGCTTCCAATTGAACCCGTGATCAAATAAAATATCAGCCCAAAATTTTAAACACTACGTGAACTCAATGGATAGAAAAATGAGCCCGCGATACACTCAGGAGATAATGGTCAGCTTATGCTCTAGTTTGACAGCTGTCAATTAACCTTCATTAGAATGGCGTATATTCGAATTAACAGACTACGAGTGTGAGTACGACATATCCGTCCGGCTTGCAGTGGAAAATGCCAGATCGTGTACCTGAGAGAACCTGAGCCCACGTTATTAGTTTTCTGACAGTGGTCTGCACATGTCCTAATTTGACAGCTGTCAATTGACTGGCTTGCCAATATAACTTTAAACGACTGTCAGCCAACTGACAGCCTTGCCCGGCGTAGTTTCGTTTTATGTTGAATTGGTAAGTGTGACATATTATATCAGCTTATATGCAGGGGCAAAACCACTGGTCTTTCATCTAAGCCCGCGAGATGGACATGTGATAGTTGTCAGCGGATGCCTGATTTTGACAGCTGTCAATCTAATCATACTCATACGGATGGCTTACACCCATTTTTTAAGGGAAAAGCCCTGAGGACGAGGTTGCTGAAAGGCTAGTCAAGTTGTGCAAGATCTATTATGACATTTGACACCGGCGTAAATGTAGTGTGTGTACGGGTGGGCTATAACATATTCTGGCCAAGTCTTAGTGTTATGCAAAGCTTTAAAGCATGATTTCAGGAGGTTCAAATCTCTTCTCTCATTGATTGGAAGCCATCCGATTTTAAGTACATCCCGAAAGTTATGAACATAGTGACCGAGTACGAAAAACTTGCGGCAGCAAATTGAACGCGTTGCAAACGGAGAAGTAAGAATTGTGCTAGAGGGTAAAGAATCAGATCGAAATAATCTAGTTTTGACAAAATCAATGTATTTGCCAGTTGCTTTCTAAGCTCATATTTGGCGAGATATTTCAGTTTTCTTAGTCACGTATTAGTCTCGTATTGATAGAGTGGCGTAGCATCCTGATACTGTGTGCTTGATGTGATCGTCCCACTGAAGATGTTCATTGATATGAACTCCAAGCAGTTTGCAAGATTTAATACGTTCTAGTCTATAACCACTGACTGCGATTTTGGGATCATACTCGTCAAGGTGATGTACTCTGGACATTTGCGGGGTGGAAAGGATCATAACCTTGGTTTTGTCGTTTTTGAAGGCGACGGTACTCTCTTTAGACCAGACATTTAGTTTATTAATTGATTGGTACATAGTGTTTCTTCAGCTATTTAGGTCAGATATTTTGGCATGCTCGTAGATTGTTGTGTCGTGAGATTGTTGTGTCGGAGGCATTGCCCATTGTGTGGGGTGTGAAACAGTTCCATGTATACCTCTATGGGAGGCGATTTACGCTCATCACAGACCACAAGCCCCTCACCGCCATTTTCCACCCAGAAAAGCGAGTTCCTGCCATGACCGCTGCGAGACTCCAGCGATATGCATTGTTCTTGGCTGGTTTCGATTACAGGATAGATTAGTGGTTGTCGATGCACACAGCAAGTGGCCGGAGGTGATTTCGGTTAGTTCCACCACTTCAAGTTCGACCATCGAAGTGATTTGTTCGCCAGATTTGGAATTCCTGAACAGATGATTAGCGACAATAGTGCACAATTTGTTTCTGAGGAGTTCCAGGCGTTCGTCAGGTCCAATGGCATCCGCCATATAACATCAGTACCATACCATCCCACTACAAATGGTCTAGCGGAGAGGGCAGTACAAACCTTCAAGCAGGCATTACGTCCCATGTATCAAAACTCTAAGCCAGTGAAGGAGAAGTTGGCAAAGTTTTTCATAGCTCATAGGAACACTCCTTACTCCACTACCAGTGTGAGTCCAGCACAGTTACTCCTTGGAAGACTGTAGCGCACTTGTCTAGATTTGATGAAACCCAACTTGAACCGTAAGACAGTTAACCAAAAGCACCAGCAGAGCATCAGGGCCGCGAATGAGAAGGGCAGTCAGCGTCGTCAGTTAGAGGTTGGTGACTCGATGATGTCACAAGATAAGGGGATCTGAAGTGGCGTTCAAGACTGATTGTCAAGACAGGTCCACTGATGTACGAGGTGCAGGCGGCACCAGGGATTATTTGGCATCGACATATCAACCAGTTGAAGCCAACAGCAGTTGAGCACGCAGTTGAGGTCACTGACACCGACACTGTTGAGGTCAGCCAACCGGAAGCAGCCAGCACACCACCAGCGCCAATCCAACTGAGTGCGCCACCTAACGTGGTTGGTACAGTTCCAGCGATTCCCATGACAGATCAACCGGAGATCGTTTCTGTTCCCACACCCATAGTTCCCGACCCTCCTGAAGCGACTCCAGTCAGTCCTATGGTCCATGAGGGGCGGTATCCTCACAGAGTGTGCAGGGCACCACAGAGACTCGATCTCTGAACTGTTTTTCTGTTTTTTACCTTGTTTTCTGTTTTTCTTAGAAACTGTACGTTACCGGACACTGTTAGTCGATTTAGTTGTTTCCTTATGATTGTATCTTAGGCTCAGTTACAAACTAGGGATGGATCATTTTTGTGTGGAGGAATTGTTATGGTCGCATGTGCGTTTACCATATAATTATAGTAATTAAATACACACGCATAGATTCAATAAAACGTGTTTGTAGTCAGCCGCTATGTTGTCCGAGTGCGTTCTCGGATCTCACGTCAGTACATGACAATAGTCAACTCTGTTAAATGACACCTCTATAAAATGGACACCTTACTAAAACAGACACCTCGAGTTGGCCCCTATTCTGTGTCTTAACTTCTCTTAGATGGACATTTCCCTAAGACAGACACACACACATTGCCAGTCCCAATCTTAGAGAGAGTTGACTGTACGTTCCTTTTCTTATCCTGGTGCGAAACGAAAACAAATGGTTCTACACAAAGCGCGGAAATCAGTCACAGTTCTCCGCATGGCAGCAATACAAAATCGCCTTTAAAATTGTTTTTAAATGCTTTTAAAGGTGATTTGGTAAACAAGTAAAATAGGCACTTGTTTTTAAAACAAACTTTAATAAAACGTGAAAAAAGGTTTTTTAGGTACTGTAATGGTAAGCAGTTGTTATGTTAATGCTCATGCACTGGACCAAAATCAAGTCAGGTCTGTAACACACTGTTTGTTGAGCATAAACTGTTGAGCTGTACGTGTCACGTATACTAGTGCAAACCACTGTGACAGCTGAGCAAGAAACTGTACTTACACTTAACATGAATTGTCGTAGTCTTTGAGTCATTCCCACAGTCATTACTAGCTTCACATCTGTAGTCTCCAGCTTCGCCCCTGTTAATATTCGTGAGTGCTAATACATGACCATCAAAGCGTTGACCAGTGCTGATTTTCACCCATGACACGACTGGCGGAGGAGTACCAGATGAATTACAAAAGAGATTCAATTTTTCACCTTCAGTTGTTGTCTCGTTCAGCAAGGGCTGGATGGTTGAAGCCTCTATAAAAAAGACCAACAACGAAAGTAAAGCCTCACCTGCGTTTCTGTGGCATAAGGCACCTGCAGATACTGTAAGAATATTGTAGTAAGCCCTCTGGATGGGATGCTACTCAATCACAGGGTTATCTTCAACTGTTTGTCATCACCGGTACAATTGGGTGACCAGGCCCCGGTTCCTTAAAAGATGGTTAAGTTTAACCCCGGACTAAGCGAAATTTCAAGCAAAGTTTTCTCGTCTTAGAACATGTAACTGGAGCTTAAAAATTCTGTTTTGCCTTTACTTTGAAAAAAGAGAAATGATAACACACAATGTTACCCTAAGCAATGCATAGGAAGATATACACACAAAGTGGAACAAAACTTTAATCCTGGAAATAGTGCTAATTGGCCTTTCAGGAACCAGGCCCAGATGAAAAAATGGAGTAAATATCTTCTTGGGTGAGGTACACTTGTATGTAGGTAAGTACATAACTGTATACATGAGTGTATACTTTTTGTGCCATTTTGGTTTTGAAATTGAGTTAGATTTTAATTGTTTGTGTTAAAATTAGGTCTAGGCCTTGAGCTCACTGAAACCAGGGCCAGGTAGTTTAAAGCAAAGCCTAGACCTACAGATCCAAAGTTTGGAAGATAAAGAATGCATAAATACGAACCAATAACAATGATTTAGCCAAGCCTAAAAAACGAAGGTTCTGTCTAGTATATACTTAAAATAAAATCAATAAAAATTGAGTAGCCTGCGAAAACATTCGTTTCACCTTGCTCTTTGCCGCTGGGGACGTTTTCTCGGCACTGGGAATTGTTCTTTTTTCTTAATCGTTCAAGGGAACTTTTTTGTCCCTGATGTTCCCGAAGTTTAAGCGAAATCTATAACAGCGTTATCAATATATTTTGGTATGAAGTCAAAAACTGGACATTCTTGATTTTCGGCCGTTATCTCTACAAAACAAGACACTTTTGAAATGCAATTACACATCATTGTAGTTTCAGTCTTTCAAAAAACATGTAACAAAGATCATCAAGATAGCTCTAGCCGATTGCTAAAAAAGAAAATTGCTTGTTTACCCTCGAAGCAAATAGGACTTCATATGAACTCGTTTAAATCACAGTGTCCGTGCGTTCCAGATCGAATGGGAATTTGGAAGTGTTAGTTTTTGAGGAGAAGGGAAAACCGGAGTAGCCGGAGAAAAAGAAGGATTTGATTAGTAGGTATCAATGCGCTCCTGTTAGCAGTTTTGTAAACATTTTGGTCTACTTTTAATTAACAAAGAAGCGAATAGCTTTGAAACCACTGGATAGATATTTTTTCAGAAATTCATCTTCTCGAGATTAACCGTCGCTTAATGTCACTTTTCAGTTTCAAGATTGATATAATACGACGCAGTAAAATTTGGTTTCTTCAAGTCTTCAGTACAGAAGAGCAGGCTTTGCAATGCCATTCCCAGGGTTCTCTCTCTTCCTTCCTCAAGAAAGAACCCTGGTTGCGGCTGGTCATGTGACGCCCTGTGACAATGAAATCCTCATCAGCTTAAGATTATCTTTGTTATGCTTAAACAAATTCGTTCACCGAGCAAATGAACTCAAACTTGAAGCAATAATATGTGATCTAAAAAGGTAAAAGGAGAAGGGTTAATGTTCATGCCTTTTTTTTTCATTTTTCAAACTGCGTTTCGTATCGTTTGTGAACAGAGAGAAACTCAACTAACAAACCTTTATTTTAGTCATATTTTCATGACCAGTTAAACAAACTGATTTTATTCTTCATTGCCTTTATTGTTGTCATAGTGATATAAAACTCAATCACTGGTGGAAATTTTATAGTAATCAGACAAGCATAAAATCACTCTTAAGTAAATATCAGTATGGCCTCCTAAAAACTATATCGACACAACTTGAAGATAAAAAAAATAATAATAATCCTAGTTGGAATCTACAGACTACCCGAAAAATTAACTGGTTACTGTAGACTTCTTTTGGAGGAAGAACTGAGTCGCACCTCAAACTAGGCCTCTCTAAATCAACAGAATGTCGTCGTATATATAATTGAACCTTAATAAACTTTAGGGTTCATACAATGAGACCCGATACACCAGAAGGAAAACTTCTAGCGCATCTACATGTAGAAGAGGAACAAAATTTAAATGTCTAATACAACAACCAACTAGAGTTCAAACTTTGGAGTCACACACTCCTGAGACCAATGGATGTGATTCTAACCAATAATTCCAATATCTGTGATGCTAGGTGGAGTGAATGATCCAGCAATTTCGATCATTCACTTGAAGTAACCGTAACTACTAGTATTGGGTTCAGGAGGATGACAGGAACGGTCTTCCATGTCTCCATCAAAAAAAAAAACTTGTACTCCACAAGAGATTTGTAAACATTTTAGGCTTTCAGCTTTTAATGTAAGGGATATTTTGCCGCCAGGTAAATTAAAAATTTGGAAATCTAAAGTCTGCTACATACAGTAAGTAAAATTTTTGGTCCATTAAGGTTTTTTTGATCCAATGGATTTTCCAGATCTCCCTCATCGGTTTTTAGTTGCTCTTTCATTGAAATTCTTTGATTGACTAGTGTTTTCATCTTATGTAGATGTAGCAATCTTTGGGACTTTCATCGCCCTCCTTTTTTCACAAAGTTCTTCTAGTTCAACCTTATGTTTTCCTGAGCTTTGAATGCCCCTTTGTTTTAAGTATTCTTTTAACCAAGGAATTAACAGGTTTGAAACTGCCCGCCGCCAAAGACCAGCCATCTTGTGTCCTCTAAGCCTCATTTACATGTGAGGTCCTAGCTAGTCCTCAGGAGAACGAATCCACAAATATCAAAAGCACCCTTAGGCTATAGGTGATCTCTCATTTTGATGTCACTTACATGTATAGTGACAGAAATGACTCATTACAACCCCAGCCAATCATTTTCAGTCACTTGTTACCATACTAAGGAATTTATCATCTACGGGAAGTTCTGGCTAAAGGGAAAAAGCATTTTTCCACTTCATACTGATAATTGTAATTTTATACAGAATTAGGTATGTATTGGGAATGGGATCATGATAAGTGCAGAAGAAGACTGCTGGGCTAATTAATTTTATTAAAAAAACTTTTACAAGTGTTATTTTCAACTTATTGTTTTAGCCAGGTCTGAACACAACAGCTTACACTTGTAAATTACACCAGTCTTGTAAAAGTTTCAGTTAAATTGACCCTTGATTGGTTTTTCACCTCCTGGCATGTTTTGAAGCCCACACTGATACACAATCTACGGGGATACCAACAGGCATGTACATATTGAATGGTGCAAACGTACTGGCAATGAACATTACCAGTACAACTATTGTTGATATTTACCTCCAACAGTAACGGTAACAGTTGTGCTGTTTGCTGCTCCCACAGTGTTGTTGGCCTGGCATTTGTATGCGAAGACTCCACTGCTTGACAGCATCCTGATCCACTCTCCTGAACTGCTTGTGCCCAAAACAGTGTCATTTCTAAACAACTGGTAGTAGTACACTTCTGGATTACCATGAGTACCAACTGAGCAAGTAAAGTTCAAATAGCTTCCAAGACAGGCTTGGTTTCCAGTGGTATTTGTTGACACCTGTACATTCTCTGGTTTGACTGAAAAAAAGAATAAGGGAGGAAAATTGAAACCTTCTAAAACACTCTCTGATAAGTATTACGTGTAAGTTGTTCAAAGTTGATTAAAAAATGCACAAATAAAACAGGTACTAGCATCTCTAGGGCTGCTTCCTTCCACTTAATGATCCAAAACTCTATTCACTTCCCGATAAAACAAACTATAAGTTAAGGGAGAGTAGTTGAGAGCCTGTTGGCAAAGCCTTACTGATTAAAACCTCTGTAACCTAGTGTAGAGAGTTCAGGTCGGCAGATGATAAGACATAAGTTGCATCGTTTGCTTGAGCTGTTGTACAACCTGAACTCTCTACACTTAACAAACGTAATGAACTCGTGTCTTCCTGCCGCCACAGAAACAACTGATGTAACGAACCTCGCACTGAATAAATTATGTAAATCAGTCTAGTATATAAGTAATGGTAAAGTTATTCTCATTAAAATCCCCTGAGGAGTGGGCAACCACGAAACAGGCTTGTAGGGATACTTATGTAGTTACTTGTTTTCTTCCGTCAACCATAGGTATACTCGCTCTACTTTATGTATTGAGCACTGTTTTTCAAACTTATTTATATATATATAAAAAGAAAGGTCTTCAATTTAGATTTAAACTTATTTACATCATCGATCTAATGTCAATAGGCAAATCGTTCCAGAGTATAGGGGCAATAACTGAAAAAGCCCTTAAACCGTATGTCTTTAAGTTATAGGGTTTAATAACAAGACGCAGTTTTGTCAGTCAATGAGGAACGTTGAGTCGACCAGGTCTCGTAGAACACAAACTTTAATCTCTTCAGAAGTAGGTTACACTCATAGAGCTAGTGACATACTAACAGACAGAAAAACTAGTCTAAGGGGTTGCTTATATACCTTAAAGAGGGGATTTCTAGAATGTTCCAAACAAATACATAATCAGTCTATTTATAGAGACTTACAAAACGTTTGGGATAATAATAGAGATTAGCAAACTGACATTCTAGAATATTCTTATGTGAAAAGCAAATGTAGATAAATTCCAGAAAGTTCTAGATATCATATCTTTCCCCTTTTAAAAAAAAAGTAAGTAGAGGCTACAATGTTCATCACTATGACTCAATATCAAACTTCTTCGGCGGCTTGATTAATCGTCCATATCTCGTCCTTATCTCAGTTTTCGTGGTTTCTTGAGGCGGTCTTGCACTCAGCTCTGCTGTTCGAGGTGAGAGGAAAAGCTGAGGTCTAGGAGGGGTTGTGGCTGTTTTTGCTTGAGTACTAGCTGGAGAGGGTTGGGTCTGTTCTGGCGGATTGTTTGAAGTCGTTAGGTCATCTTCCTCCATCTCATGGGGAGATTCTTGAAGTGGTTCCTTGGTAGAACGCAACTGCTTACGATTACGCCTATAGAATCTGCCATTGACTTCAACCTTGTAGCTTTGAGGTGCAATTTTAGAAGAAACAACTGCTTGTGACCACTGTGTTCCACCAGGCAGTTTCATGCGCACTATGTCACCTGACTTGAGTTCTGAGAGTTGTTTGGTATGCTGGTCGAAATGCTTTGCTTGCTTGACACGATCCTTCTTGAGAAGGTCGCTAACTGTTTGTTCAGTCTTGAGTAGAGGTTCTGAGAAGGGTAGGAGTGTCTTAGCTCGGCGACCAAAAAGACGTTGGCAGGGTGACATACCTGTCGCGGCAGTAGGAGTGTTGTGGTGATCCAATAAACCAAGATATGGATCGGATTTTGACAGAAGAGCTTTCTTCATTATTGTCTTGCATGTTTTGACTGCATTTTCGGCCATTCCATTAGCTTTTGGGTAGTGCGGTGAGCTGCTGGTGACATGCTTGAACTTCCATGTTTTTGCAAATCTTCGGAATTCTGAAGATGTATACTGCGGACCATTGTCGGAAACAACATAAACTGGTACCCCATGCCTTGCAAAATGCATCTTCAGTTTGTGAATGACTGTCTGGGACGAAGTGTTAGCAAGATAGTCCAGCTCAATGAAGTTTCTGTAGTAATCAACTGATACGAGGTAGTTGCGGTTCTCAAAGGTAAACAAATCAGTTGCAACTCGTTGCCATGGCCTGTCAGGAACTGGGTGAGGCTGAAGAGGTTCACTAGCTTGTTCAGGTTTAACACTTTGGCATATAGAATACTTATCAATAAGATTCTTGAGTTGCGCAGACATTCTTGGCCAGAAGAAAACTTCTCTAGCTCTTCGAAGGCATGCTTGCAGTCCTTGATGAGATTTGTGCGTTTCCTCCAACATACATCGGTGAAGGCTCTCTGGGACGATTATCTTTGTTCCTTTAAATATTAGGCCATTTTGGAGTGTCATCTCGTCTCGATACTTGAGAAAGGGCTGTGCGCTAGTAGGTACCATCGAAGTTTTCGTAGGCCAACCAGCGCGTATAACTTGTGACAACACTTGTAGAGATTCATCTTTGGCCGTCTCTACTTGAAACTTCGCAAGTGTTGAGTCAGATATCGGCAAGTCTTCAACAAAGTTGACAGTTTCTAGATCGTTACAGAAGTGTGAGGTGCTTGATATCTTTGACTGCTTAGGTAGAGCGCGAGAAAGTGCGTCAGCAATGTACATCTCTTTGGCGGGCTTGTAAGTAAGATTCAGGTCAAATCTTTGCAAACGAAGCATCATACGCTGCAGTCTTTTAGAGGCTGTGTTGATTGGCTTCTTCTGTATAGCAATCAGTGGCTTGTGGTCTGTTTCGACTGTGACGTGTTTGCCATAAATGTAATGTTCGAAATGCTCAAAAGAGAACACAACAGCAAGGAGCTCCTTCTCTATTTGGGCGTAGTTTTGCTGTGGTGGTCAGTGCTCTATTTGCGTAGTGGACTGGCTGTCCTTCCTGAAGCAGAGTTGCACCAATACCGTACTGTGAGGCATCGCACTGTATAGTTATATTCTTACTCACGTCAAAGTACCGTAGAACTGGGGCTTTAGTGACGAGATCTTTTATCTCGTTGAAGGCTTTACTTTGAGGGCGTTGCCAATGCCATTCAACTTCCTTCTTCTCCAACTGTCTTAAAGGCTGGGATGCTGAAGACAGACGCTGGCAGAATTTTGCCAGATACTGCACCATTCCTAAAACCGTTCTCAGTTCTGCGAGGTTGGTAGGCACTGGATAGTCAACTATGGCCTGTACCTGTGACTGGTCGGGTCCTAGACCTTCAGCTGTGAGGAGGTGTCCTATGAAAGGAACTTGTGACTGTCGAAGTTTCAACTTCTCGCTGTTGAGAGTGAGGTTTCTTTCTCTTGCGAGCCAGAGGAAAGCTTTGAAATTCTGATCATGGTTAGCTATTGCAGCTTCATTAGTGTCTCCAAAACCACAAACTAGGAAATCATCGGCGATGACTTCTACACCTGTAAGTCCTTCTACTAGCTGATGCATTCGCTGTTGCCATACTTCTGGGGCTGAGTTTATCCCAAATGGCATTCTGAGCCAGCGATAGCGGCCAAAAGGTGTGTTCATAGTTGTCAAATAACTGCTCTTTTCATTTAGTTTGACCTGCCAGAATCCACATTTAGCATCTAACACGCCAAAGACTTTGGCACCACTAAGGCGAGTTGCGACTTCCTCAATAGTTGGAAGTGGATAGTGCGAGCGTTTGCTTGCGCGGTTGAGATCTCGAGGATCTAAACATACTCGTATTTTCCCGTTAGGTTTCTTGACTATAACAAGACTAGAGACCCATGATGTAGGCTCTGTTACTTTGGCGAGGATACCATTCTTTACCATGTTATCCAACTCTGACTTGAGTGTATCTCGTAGAGGGACTGGCACTTTACGAGGCGGATGTACCACTGGACGGAAACTGTCGTCCACTTGGATGGAGTAGCTTCCTTCAAGGCATCCAACTCCGGTGAAGATATCAGTGAATTCAGATAAGATAGGATCACTTCTAACATTTGGCGAGACATCAATTCTTTCATCGTGAGTCGCGTTTATGTCAGCATCTAGAATTTTGACTAAGTTCATCTTTTCACACGTTGTTCTACAGAGGAGTGGTGTCAAATCTTGCTTCACAATGTGAAAAAGAACCCCATATTTTCTTCCTTTCCGTTCGGTAAGTAGGCGGATTTGACCAAGTGGCCAGACTACAGTCTTGTTGTGCATGGTGAGCCTTGTATACGACTGTTCCAGATTCTTACACTGTTTGTCTCCTGTAGCCCTGATGTAGTCACTTTTAGGCAGAATGTTACATGAAGCACCTGTATCGATCTGGAGTTGTACCTCGGCATTGTTGTTTAGGCGCACTGTCACATAAGCTGATGTGGAGGAGGGCTTATGACTGTAAATTTCACAATCTTGTACATGATTGATGGAGCGGGAGTCACACTTTTTTGCAAAGTGTCCTTCTTTGCCACATCTAGTGCATTTTTTGCCAACAGCAGGACAGGCTGATTTTTTCATCTCATGAACAGCACCACAAAACTTGCATTCTCGAGTGCATACGTTGTTGGGGTTGCCAGAACCTTTCCCTTTTGACTTACACGGAGGAGTCCGCTTTCTACCTGAGGTCTGTTTATGCGAGGTCGGATCTTCAGTCTGAGTCTTGGGATTTTTCGTTTTCTTGAGCTTTACCTTATTTACATTAGCTTCTTCAGTTGTCATGTCTGATGCGCGTATATCAGTTAACTCTTGTGTTCGCAGAATGTCCAAGGCTTTATCCAAAGCAAGATCTTTCTGCTCCAGTAGTTTCTTGCGTGCACGATCATTCTTAACTCCAAGGATGAGGCGGTCTCTTATCAAACTGTCTCTTAGGTTCAGAAAGCCACAGTGTTCAGAGAGACGCATCAGTGCTGTGCAATACTGGTCGATACTTTCTCCTGGTTCTTGCTCTCTTTTGTTGAAGTGGTATCGTTCGTACGTTTCATTACGTTGCGGCAGACAACGAGATTCAAGATTTAGCGATGACGTCATCTATCTTGTCAGCGCGTTCGTGACTATCTTCATCAAAGGTAAAGGTGTCAAACAACTGAACTCTTTCTCTTCCAATGACGTTGAGAAAGTGAGCAACACGGACTGGACCTTCTTGTTTACTGATCCCAGTCGCTTGATCATAGATTTGCCATGCTCTCTTGAAGTGTAACCAGTTATCGCCTCTATGCGATCTGTCTTCTAGGTTGAGAGGATGTGGAGGTTTGGCTAGCGGTACTGTAGAAGTATAAATCGGTACAGCAGCCGTTGAACCAGACGTTTGCTCACTAGTAGAGATCAAAGCAACAAAGACAAAGCTCGCGGATTGTACTAACCTTCTGACACCAAGTTTTGTCAGTCAATGAGGAACGTTGAGTCGACCAGGTCTCGTAGAACACAAACTTTAATCTCTTCAGAAGTAGGTTACACTCATAGAGCTAGTGACATGCTAACAGACAGAAAAACTAGTCTAGGGGTTGCTTATATACCTTAAAGAGGGGATTTCTAGAATGTTCCAAACAAATACATAATCAGTCTATTTATAGAAACTTACATAACGTTTGGGATAATAATAGAGATTAGCAAACTGACATTCTAGAATGTTCTTATCTGAAAAGCAAATGTGGATAAATTCCACAAAGTTCTAGATATCATAACAGACGCCACTTCTCTGAAGATGAGCGAAGGTACCTCGCAGGTTCGTGGATTAGGTCAACCAAATAATCAGGAGCTAAATTTTTTAGTATCTTAAAACAAATAAGATTAATCTTAAAGATTATTCTTTGCTCCACTGGTAGCCAGTGCAACTCCTTTAGAGTATCACTTACGTGATCAAAATTACGTAAGCAGGCAATCACAAGCACTGCAGCGTTTTGGACACTTTGCAGTTTGTTAATTTCATACTTGGGAAAACCATGTTAAAGTGAGTTGCAGAAATCCAGCTTCGAATTTATGAATGCGTGCACAAGAACTTCAGCCGTTGTGGTATTGATATACTTACGAATCTTAGCTATATTTCTAAGGTGGTACAATGCCACTTTAACTATGTTGTTAATATGAAAAGACACCGTTACGCTGTTATCGAAAATGACGCCGATATTACGCGCCTTATCTGTAGGCTTGACTGATATCAGTTCCTATTTTAATAGAAGGTAGCGCTGGGGGCAATCTGAACCTAGAATAGAAAATGAGAAGTTCCGTTTTGTCAGTATTTAGTTTCAGTTTGTTAGTAGTCATCCAGCTGGTGATATCGACAAGACAGCTTTCAATCCGGGAGATTATAGTGGTAAGATCATCCTTATCATCGCAACTGAAGGTGGTGTACAGTTAAATATCGTCAGCATATAGATGGAAGTCCATATCATGCCATCGTACTAGGTCACCTAGTGGGGCCGTGTACAACAGATACAGCAACGGGCCCAACACGGACCCCTGGGGTACACCAAATCTGAGCGGACGAACTGCAGAGGTAAATACATCAATCTGAACTGACTGGGAATGATCCATAAGATAAGACTGAAGCCACAAAAGCGCTTTTCCTTTTATACCAAACCTGGATCGCAGTCTGTGTAACAAGATCTTATGATCGACGGTGTCAAAGGCTGCTGATAGGTCTAGCAGCAAGAGAACAACGCATTGTTTATTATCGATTGATTTCAGTTTATCATTTTGAACACGTAGAAGCGCTGTCTCACAACTGTGGTTTTTCTTATAAGCAGACTGAAGACTTTCTAATTCATTCAGATCAATATCACACAAATAATTCGTCAGACGCATTGCTGCAACTTTTTCAGTAACTTTAGACAAAAACTTCAGGTTAGATACAGGTCGAATGCAGACGCCGATCGAATAGTATCCCATGATGCAGCTCGTTTCATGTTATATTATCACTGCGTACGTGACATAACATGATCAGTAATCTTCAGCACGCGGGAAATGAACATCGCAGTGCTCGATGTGGATGGTTCCAAACATGTTTCGGCTCAGCAGCTTCTGCTTTTGAGATTATCGAGTTGGTATATATTCGCTGTGCTTTAAAGGAGAATTTCAGCGTTACTTTGACTAAGAAGGGTTTTACATGTGTTTCACTGATCTGTCGAGAACTACCGCTTGTGCGCTCAGTGGCACTGTAAACACGAAGTATAAGACTCGGCAACTGATAAGTTTCGCTAGGTTCACTAGGAGAACTCAGGCCTGAGGAGAACCAAAACCGTGACTGATCTAAAAAGTGGTTCCAAAAAAAACAGCCGCTACACGCTGTGAAGCTAATTACCAAAGGAGGATTTATTACAGCATCGCGCTCACAGCTGTCAGTTTACAACGGCAATTACAAATAAATTTAACCTACTGATGTGGCAAACAATTCTCTGAAGCACAATCTACCTGGTACTGACTCAAGCAATCTTCAAGGAAATTTCCTGGCCAGAGTACTGATCTGTTCTTTTGAGTAAATAAAGTTTCTGATGTTTCTTTTTCAAATTCTGAGCAGGCTTGTTTACGTTGTGCCGGCTTGCATGCTGCGTGGCACCTTTCTTTGGGTTCCTATCACATTGAAACACACCATTATTCACTATTTATTATATTATTTATTCATTATTCAATCTTCGAATGAAAATGGTTACATTCAAATTCCTTTTAACAATAACCACTTTGAAAATACAAAGTGATTGCTTCGGCATAAAGCGCTCTCGAAAGCGCCCAACAGATTTTAGCCTTCAGCGGACTTTACCCATATATTCCCACCCATGGCGTTGAAATGTGATAAAAGATTCGAAATTTCAGCCATCGTTCGTCGACGAAAAAGTCTTCAAAATGTGGGTACTTCTGGTACTTCTTACCCTGCACAATATTCAGGACTTCATTTTTCTGGTATGAGGTCCACGTTTGGAAGATTTCAACATATATTCTTAAAATTCTTGAATATTCATGACCTTGTTGTGGGTCACTGAACGCTTTTTGATGGGAAGACGAGTTGAAACCACGAAAATAAATGTTTCTCTGTGGAAACGTGGCTCTTAAGGCATTGCAAATCGGAGAAAAGCACGTCAAATAACTAAATAATGCAATATTCGTACTTTTTCTGGAAATCGAATGAGAAAAACGCCGACGAGAAGGCGACCTTATTTTACGATGGAATCTGCTATGTCGACTGCGATATTGCGTGATACTTCTGGAAAAATGCATCATGGGATACTATTCGATCGTCGTCGGGTCGAAAGCTAGAAAAGATTTCGAAGTCTAGGGACGGTTTCTTCAGCAGAGGAGACAACATTGCATTCTTCACGGAACTTTGCATTGAAGCTGAATTGAATGAAAGGTTTACGACTCCTTTACTAATAGGTAGTAAATCATCGATACAATAACGTAAAAGAGAAGCAGTTACAGGATCAAGAGAACACGATTTGGCGGCGATTTTTTTCACGAGACCAGAAAGTTCATCCTCTGAGGTGGGAAAAGATTCGCTTAATTCACATGTACTTATGGCGTCATCAATCAATAGAAGAACAGGAGCATCAGTAATAGATAACGTATCCAGTTCATGCTTGATTGTCACAATTTTGTCACAGAAAAAAGCTACTTGTTTTACCTGGCATTGACTCCTTTAGATGGACACCCAATTCAAACATTCTAAAACACAGCAGCTACTAGCAGCAAATAGCTTGACTGACAACCTGAGAAAATGCAAGTCACCTAAGTCGGTCATAAGGATGGTTTTGAATCACTTGAGTCCTTATTGAACTTTTTAATCTTTCCAACTTTCATGAGATGAAAAGTAAAGTTACTTGAGGTTTTACTTACAATAGGCCTTCTCACCTGCATTTTTGGTTAAGTAAAACTTAGCAGCTCTTAAAGGGCCTGTGTCACGGCAGTCCAGTTCATTTTCTTTAATTTTGCCAATTATTCACCCTACGTTCGCCCTCAATCGCTATGGAACTTAAAGTAAGCAAAGAAATTACACGTAAATGACAAAATCAGAGATCCGAGACGAACAAATATGTCTCCTGAGCATTATTTTAAAGTAAAGTAAGCAAAGAAATTACAGTAAGCAAAGAAGCAAATTACAGTAAGCAAATTAAAGTAAGCAAAGAAATTACATGTAAATGACAAAATCAGAGATCCGAGACGAACGAATATGTCTCCTGAGCATTATTTTTGAAGTTGCAAGCCGCAGGGATCAACTTTAGTCATCTTCAGAGTCAAAGTGAGTTGTATCACGTCAGTTAATGGTATCATACTCTGGAGTATAATACGAGTATAATACCATCAACTTCTTCTTCTTCATCGGCGGGTAAAAAGGGAGACACATCGTCCCAAAAAACTTTATAATTAAATTCTGCTGGAATACCGTCCGTCCCAGGCGATTTATCCGATTCCATTGTTTTTAGACTCTGTAAGCATTCCGTTGCTGACAGTTGGCCTTCGCAAGATTTTTTTTTATTATTACCTAGCTTTGTTTCAGTAACTTCAGGGAAAAAAAAGATTATCATAATCACTGACATCAACACTTGTAGTCGTGTAAAGATGCCCATAGTAATTTTTTGCTTCGTCTAGAATCTCTACGTCCGTCGAAAACGTCTTCCCATTTGCGCTTTGGAGGTACCTAATGGTTTTACTATTAAAGTGCCGCTTCTCCAGTTTATGAAAATGTTTTGTATTCTTTTCTCCTTCATTATACCATTTCACTTTTGATCTAAGAATAGCCCCTTGAGTTTAGTAGGCGATTATTTCTTCTATTAGCTGTTTCTTAATTCTGAGTTCAGTCCGTATGTTTTCTTTCACTTTTTCTGATACATTACGTTTGTCAAGCTTATTCTCGAGTGCTAAAACTTCTTCTAACTGATTTTCTCTATTTTCCAGACGCTGTTTCCTGGCTGCGGTATAATTAAAGAGGCTTCTCTAATTTTCATTTTGATGCCGTCGCATAATAAGATCTCGTCAACTTCACTCTGGCCTTCATATTCCTTATACACATCAGCGATGTTTTTTCGTATCAACTCAACGTATTGCGTTTTAGTTAGGAGGTGTCTGTTTAATTTCCAATAACCTGGTCCTCTGGGGTTTCGGGCTGTGTTTATACGAAATGTAATCATTAAGTGGTCTGTTCGGTAACCGGGCACTATGTCGGCTTCCGTGATCTCTGGGCAAAGAGAAAGACTAATGAGGAAGAAATCTAAGCGGCATTGGATCTCAGGATTTTCCCTTCTCCACGTAAAACGCGTGGCCTCAGGGTTAAGTATGCGCCAAATATCAGCCAGTTCGAAATCTTCTCTGATAGCCTCTACTTCATCTTTACATTTCAAGTGTGTTGTGGCAACACCCCCTTTTTTGTCTTTAGAAACATCACTAACTAAATTGAAGTCGCCACCAAAAATTGCAAAATCGCATTCAAAGGAGCACAGCTTGTCATGTATGTTTCTAAAGAAGGCTGGATTGTCCTCATCAGGCGCGTAGACATTTACCATTGTAATAATTTTGTCCCCAGTATCTAAGTCTGTAATAATAAACCTCACTTCGGGGTCGGCAAAATGTTTCAGAATTTGAAATTGAAAATTGTTGTTGAACAGTATAGCAACGCCTGTCTTAGAGCTTGAGAAGGTTGTAAAAATAGTCGAATATCACCATTCAGAATGCCAATAAGGTTCTGTCTCTTTTGTGCTATGCACCTCTTACAAAAAGTAAATAGAGAACTTTTTTTTCTTTAACCATAAAAACGTTTCTCTCCGTTCAGTATTGTTTGACAGACCTCTGACGTTTAGGGAGCAAATTACCATATCATCAGGTTGCATGGTGAAAAGGTGAGAAAGGAAATCCTTTGTTGAGAGTGTCAGAAGAGCAGTTATGTAATTTAACTACTAGGCCTAGATATTTGCAAATTGTACAAGGTACACGAAAGAAGGATAATAACACACAGAAGAACATAAACACATATACAGACACAAATTACAGTAATAAATCCTTTTGGGTTCCGTCGCTTTTGGTAATAGCCCGATCGATGTTCCTATATATAGAACTCCTTGACATCGTTATACATAAAAAGTTGAAAAAAAAAACATTAAATAAGTGGAAAAGTAATTGCAAATAGATTATTTGGCATTCGCAGAGAAAAACGTATTATTGAAAAGGATATCACTCTATCGGTTCACCAGGGACAATGTACTTTCCGTTGACATACAGTTTGTCTGGCTGAGCTTTACTGAAGTAGGTGATAAAGCCTTTTCCCCTGGCTTTCTGCAACTTCTTCATTTGTCCTTTCGTCGGGTCTTTTTTTTGGGATGTCATCGTAGACATGGAATTCCGTGTCCTTCAGATTTTTCCGGGCCTGACGCATCACAAGTTCCTTATTCCCATAACGTAAAACTCGTGCAATGATTTGACGCGAGCTTCCATTTTTCGGTTTTCGTAAGCAGAATTCAATTCTTTGTCGCGCACTTGGAATCTTTAGTTGATGTTCGAGAGATTTATAGATAATCCCTCTTGTATCTTCTATTTTTGCTTGCGCGCCATTGTGATCTTCGTCACCACCATTCATGTGGTCAACTTGCTCTTCTAGTAGCCCCACAAATTTTACATTTTCACTCCTTGAGTAAGTCTCCATGTAAAGAAGTTGTTTCTGGAGCTCGCAGACATCCTGTTGTAGCTTTTGGTTTTCAAGTTTTAAGTCGGATATGTTCTCCTCATTAAATCGGATGCTTTCTTTCAATTCATTGACTGTTGAGCCAAGCTGTATGGACTTTGTTTTCAGATCTTCGACATCCGAATCCAGCCTGCTTACATTTTCTTCAGTACTTGCTAGTGTTGTGTACATCTGGCTCAAGCGGCTTTCAATAGTATGAAGCTTTTCTAATTTTTTTAAGTACAGCTTCAAGCTTCGACCCTATACCTTCGGCCATTTCTAAAGCTTCGAACACTTCGTCAGTCTCCGATGCAGTTGAGGGTGCCTTTCCTTCGTCTTTCGATTTTTTTTTTATCTGGAGATGGCAAAGAATCTTTGGAAGCTTTTGACCGGTTTTGCGTTTGCCCAGCATTAAAAAAAAACTATAAAGGGAGGGAGCTCGGCGAAGCACGTTTACTCTCCTATGTTACCAGTCCCAGTCAAACGAAGATCAGAATCTTGCACTACACACTGGCGTGGAGACATTTTAAAGTTATAAATTCAACAACAGGGTGATCTCTCACATCTCTCATAGACTGCAGAGGAAATCAACCACGAGATTTTGGATTGATGCGAGTCTGAAGTCACTTCCTGGTCGTTCAAGTTAGTCCCAACCCTTTTTTGCTCCTGGTCATTTTGCGGCTCACGTAATGGTAGACAGCGAAAGCCAATGTTTTTTTTTTCAAAATAATCGGACTTCTTGTGTGAATTTTGAGCAAAAACATCGGCATGGTTACTATATTAGTACGTCTTCTTTCCATAACCAAAGAAAAAAAGGACTTCCAAATTTACGTCGTATTACCACTTTAAAGAACAAAGAAATAGTAATTCAAACCTTGCAACAACACTGCTGCGCATTCATTTGTTTACTTTCAGCCCACTGAAAATGTGAGAGCACCTGCTTCATGAGGCCTGTTTTCTATTTGGCCTTGTACATATAATGTGTAAATAAATTCCTCTTGAAGCGAGGTTTATAAATTTGTTGAAATTTACCTTGTATGAGGATCACTTAATTAACCAAAAGTGAGACATCATTTCACATATTCTATTGGTTTGGTTGGTGTTTGCAATTGCCTAGCAAGAAAACCATGACAGGACAAAGCTGGAACAATTTCTTTGTGACCGATTTAGTGATCAAGAAATTATTTTGGCCATGAGTTTTGACAGCAGAAGTACTTTAAATAGAATATGGAGGTGATGTGGATTACTAACTTCAAAATATAAGTGAAAATCAAGGTAAGAGAACATTTTATGGTCTTTTTGGTACATCTCACTTGGCCCTTTTTTGGCCTTTATTCCTTCTATCGGTCCTTTTCCTATAAAGCTTCGCGAGGTAAAAGACAAGTAATTACTTTGGTAATCTTGTGATATTTACATTTCTCCTCTATCCCTTCATCTTGCTTTCAGTCCTACAACCATACGAAATTCCATATTTCTATTTCGTATAAGCTACCTCCTTAGAAAATCTTGGCCACCGGGAAGGAGAGGGGAAGGGAGGATGCATATAAATGGCAAGAATACGCATAAGAACACAGAATGGTAGTTGTTGTCTTATTGTCTACTTACACTGCACAAAGACGTTGACAACACTTGTTGTTGCCCTCAAAGCAGTATTCCGAATGAAGTATCGATACTCTTCATCGTCTGATCTATTCACATGAAGGAGTGTTAACGCTGCTTCACTGTCTAATATAATCACTTGTACATGGTCTGAGAATTCTGCAGCCACGGCCAAGCCGCTGCTATCTTTCAGTGCTATGGTAGCGCCCGCACGTGTGAAAGTTGAATCTCGAAAGGTGCCATCAATGTTGTAAGTCCAACGAAGAGTTATGTTGTCCCCTTCATTAACACGTGAAGGATTCGATGGCTCTTCAGTGAACGATGGTACTGCTTCTGTTACAGTATAAAGCATAAATACTAGTTATAGCAATCGCTAAGTGCCAAAGAGTAAAGGTTTTACCTATACGCGCGCGCCGTTCAATTTGTTTAGAAATATCATGAAATACAGTAATTGATGAAAAATAGATTGAACTTGATTCGATTGCATTGAAAGCAGTGCAAATTTAAAGCAAGTGGAACACATACACCAGCCCACCGCTGGGCCAGTGCCTCACGCATGCGCACCGCCATATCGCACTCGCAGTAAAGACAGCTCTTTCGCCCTTATTTGGGTCTACCAGCGAGACAAAGCGGTTGGGTTAATGAACGGGGGAAACTCGCGTCTTAAACATCTCTTACTGCCGAGGTGAGTGCAAAGCTGTCTATCAAGCGCCAGCTCCATACAACACATGTGGGAGCTGTTGGCTGGGAACCGCATGGCAGTTCTCCCACGACATACGCGGGGAAGGCGGATCATGGGTTTGGTGTATGTGTGCCCCTTGCTTTAATTTGAAAATAGTGAGCTAAACTGCAAAGTTTTTGAGATATTAAAGTTGGAGTTTTTGTCCGAAGTTGCGCACAAGTCATTTTGCATAAGATTTAGTGGTCTTATAAGCAAACTTAAAATACTCGAAAAATAAGATTAAAGTCCGCGAATATTCAACGTACAGACTTACATTTGGTCTCTTTTTAAAGCTAAAAAAAGTTATGGTGCGCCAATAAAGCCTTCCAAATTATTTTGCTTCAAAGGCACAAAAAATGTCGCTGCGTTATTATCTTTCTTAGCAGCGTGCAATAAAAAATTCCAGCGGGAGAATGCGATAGATATCGCGTAGGATGGAAATGATCCACCCGACGATTGGCTGAAGACGGGATTAAAACGGCACTCACAAACACGCACACGGTTCGTGGATTCTGTATCACCTGTTCGCTAGTAAACAATGCATTCCCTGTCCTGCATTACGCCATGCTTGCCTTACATTACTCTACGTTACATCGATTCAAGATTTTTTCTGCCCCTGGAACAATCGCGCACGGCTCTATTAGACTGCCGCCGCGCACCCTCGCCTCTTCGCGAGGCTGCTCTTTGGCAATAACAATTATATTTAACGAGACGCGAAGCGGCGAGGTAAATACCCACCCACACTGAGGTAAATAATTGTTTTAGTATATAATAAAGCAGTGAGATAGTTGAGCACAATGATGATTTTAACTCATTTACTGTTGCCAACAATTACAATTTTGGCGCGCAATGACCGAACGGCGGCGTTCGTCGCTTTTTCTTGCCGACAAATAAAATTTTTGAAGGCATTTGTCTAGCTCCTGTGGGGAAATTTCTTCAAAAGGAGTTGTGAATTCTTTTTGTATTTAAAATCATTCTGTAAAAAAATATTAAATTTAGTTATACGCTTATTTATGACCAATTCAACTAAATGTAGTAATGCAATACTTAATCTTAATGGAGGAGTCTACGCTCAAAGTTGCATCAATTTTTCCGTACATTTTCTGTAAGTTTGATACTGTCGAATTATAGAAAATGTGTGGGAGAACCAAGATTTTACAAAAACTGATCACGAACGTCTCTGCACTCCAGATTTATTACATTCCAAATAACTATGAATGAATGAATAAGACCACATCGCATTCTTCCACTCGACCTAATTGCAGAAAGTTTTTGGGCATTTTAGTTTTTCAAGGGCTCCCAGCTTTTGATTTGAGCCGATTGCGTTTGGAGAGTTCCATTCCAGGGCAATGACGTGGAAGCGGTCTGATACATAATACTTAAATAACAACATGAGAATTTGGAAAACCTCATTCCTTCATCAATTAACAAAATAACAAAACTTTCTTTTAAAAAAACCGCACGTTAAACTATACATCCCGTAAAACAGTATCATTTACGTCTCCCCCCCCCCCCTGTGGCCTGCACTGCTTTTTTGGCATGTGTCAGCCAACCTAATGGCAAAAATATGCATATTGCCCAATATCGAGGATCAATCAACGAATCGCTCCATGTCATAATGCGCCTCAATCAAGATCCAAGAAAAACAGGGGAAAACATGTGAGACCATAATAGGAAAACAGGGCAAAACATAGGGAAACAGGGGAAAACATGGGAAGACAGAACAAAACAGAGGAAAACATAGAAAAACACGGAAAAAAAAGGAGAATCAAGGAAAAACAGAGAAAAACATGGGAAACAGGGCAAAACAGGGAAACAGACGAAAAGTAGAAAAACACGAAAAAACAGGGAGAATCAGGGGAAAACATAGGAAAACACGGGGGAAACAGAGGAGAACGTAGAAAAACAAGAAAATACCGAGAGAATCGAGGAAAACATAGAAAAACACGGGAAAACAGAAACAGCCAGGGGAAAACATAAAAAAATCATTGGAAAACAGAGTAAAACATAGGAAATTAGGGGAAACAGGGGAAAACGTAGAAAAACACCCAAAAACAGGGAGAATCATGGTAAAATATAGAAAAACACGGGACACCAGGGAGAATAAGGGCAAAACATAGAAAAACACCGAAAAACAGGGAGAATCAGGGGAAAACATAGAAAAACACGGGAAAACAGGGAGAATCAGGGGGAAACATAGAAAAACAGCGAAAAACAGGAAAAATGAGGGGAAAACATACAAAAACACAGGGGAACAGGGGAAACATAGAAAAACAGGGAAACCAGGGAGAATCAAAAGAAAACATAGAAAAAACACTGGAAAACAGGGGAAAACGTGGAAAAACACGGGAAAACAGGGAGAATCAAGGAAAATTATAGAAAAACACAGAGAAACAGGAGAAAACGTAGAGAAACACGGAAAAACATGGCGAATCAGGGGAAAACATAGAAAAACAGGGAGAAACAGAGAAAAACGTAGAAAAACATTGGAACACAGGGGAAAACGTAGGAAAACACGGGAAAACAGGGAGAATCAGAGGAAAACTTAGAAAAATACGGGAAAACAGGGGGAAACGTGGAAAAACACGGGAAAACGGGGAAAATCAAGAAAAAACATAGAAAAACATGGGAAACCAGGGGAAAACGTAGGAATACACGGGAAAAAGGGGAGAACCAGAGGAAAACATAGAAGAACACGGGAAACATAGGGAAAAGGGAAATGCATAGAAACAATAGGGAAACTTCTTTATATATTGGGGACATGGTATGGAGTCTTACATGAGATACTGACCGCCCTTGGGATTTGCTGAAACCAGTTTGCATAAACTAAAACAAAGATATGGAAAACCATAAAACAGGTTTACTAGACCAGCGAGAATGATTTTTTTCCAGTTAAGCTTGTTTACCAATTTTGCCATGACGAGTCTGAAATTCTTACTGTATGCGACCCATATGAAGGTCTATGAACGCTCTGAAAGTTCGTCGTGAGTTCTGACCTCAGGTTCATGCATATACATAGACTACGAGTAGTCCCCATTTTTCCTCAGGGATAGTAGAGCGAGCGAAACGCGAGCCTGCGTGAAAATCACCCCACGCGAGAAAAGGCGACACGCGGCGGGGAGAGAGAAAAATGAGGGACTACAGACAAAGCCCAAGCTTTTGAACTAATTGGCTCTTCCATGGCAATCTGTCAACGTCTATCAAAACCGCGTCAGCCGCTATCAACACTCGACATAATCATAATTTCTGTCACTATGGCAGACAAACTTCAGGCATGTCTCGAAAAAATTCCAAACGTAACATCTCTTAAACAGGAACAGACCCAAGCATTGAGGCTCTGTTGGCGGAGAAGGATGTGCTCGCGACACTTCCAACCGGATTTGGAGAAAGTTTGATTTATCACGTCTTTAGAATGGCGCAAACGTCTGCGAACGCGAGCGTTCTTGTTATTTCACCACTCAACAGCATGAACGGCCTTGGTATTAGATCGGTTCTCTTGAAACCTGACATTGAGGATTGTTTGCATGATATTTCCGACGAACATTTTTGAATGATTTTCGCTTCAGCTGAAGACTGCTTATCCAAGAACTTCACGGAGATCCTGAAAGGATCGGAACCCCATTCGAAACTAAACATTTCTTTGGTTGTTATCGACGAATGTCACACGGTTGAGACATGGTAAATATGTTATTTCGAATTTGTTCCTTCGCGTACGATTGACTGATATCCCTTTAATACAATATCAGTGTACTCTTCATTCGAACTTTATCTACCGATTTGCATGTCACAATTTTTTCTAAGGTGTGATTTTTTTTCTTGCAGGGGCACAGATCACAAGAAAGGAAAGCTATTTCTTTTCTTTCCCAACGCCAGCTCGTTTAGGGATCTCAAAGAGATTCTCTGTAGGAACTCTTCGTCTAAAATCACCGTAATAAGTATTGAAGTTACAGCCACAAACACGACAAAAGTCACTGCAACTTGGCTTTTTTAAAGGTCTTCCAACTGACTTTTTCTGCGATTCAGCCAGTCATCAGTTCTTCGCGCGAAACAGCCTCGAAGAAAATTGTGTCTGGGTTTTCTTTTACTTGCTATAAATATCCCCCGCAGTTTACTGATGACAAGGGCAATGACAGCTCAATGAGAGAAGGAATCCCCTCAGATGCGCTTCATTTATTTGGAACGTAATACGAACTTCACACTCCAAAATCAGTCGGCCGTGAAGGGTCAAAAGCTTGGGCTTTGTCTGTAGTCCCTCTTCGCATTTTCTCGCGTGGGGTGATTTTCAAGCGCGCTCGCGTTTCGCTCGCTCTACTATCCCTGGGGAAAAATGGGGACTACTCGTAGTCTAGCATATACATGGTAAGGTGAATAAAGACTTGGGAATTTGTTTCCGCTCCTGTCGTTGTTGTCTTTGTGCTGTTCAATAAAACAAATGACTAAAATTTGTTTTTCGTTTTTTTTAGGATAGCAATCATAGGCGTAATTTTCTCCTGTTCATTTTCATACTGTTAAACAACTGAAATTTGACTGATAATATTCCTGGCTACTGGCAAGTCAGGTAAATTATTTCGAGGAACGTATTACTCTACTGATGTTTGCTTTTGATCGAGTCGATTAGTGAGTATACTGAA